TTCACATTTATGGAGTCTTGGCTAAAAAAGTGACAGCAGTCTAGTATTGCCAGTATGCTTTCCTAGTTTCTCTTTGGATTTCACTTTTAAGTACTTTGAGCTTTTTGACCAAATCAATTTGATGGGGACTTTGACCTTTTAATGTTTGAAAAAGTTCTATCACGTTTCCTATTTTTCGAATAATGGACTTGTTTAACCATGGTAGGTCTTGACGTGTTTTTAGTGACTTTAGTTGGTATGTGAATAGAACAAAGGTGGTTTAGTTCGTCCTTGAAAGGAAATCCAGGCTTTGTTGGGGGATCAGTGTGTGTGTTTTCACTGTAGACCTTGGCATATTTACTTACGTCTTTTTTTAAACAATTCCAGTTTGCCTTATTATAACATTGGATTTCCCTCTTTGATGAAGTGGACGCCCTCTGTTAATTTTGATTTCATGAAAGACTATGTCATGATCTGAGGAGCCTAGGGCGAGGTAGGGTTTTTTGTACTATGTACGTGGGAAGCATGTTTGTGAGGAACAGGTCAAGGACGTTGTTACCTCTGGTAGGGATGTTGACCATTTGCTGCAGGTTTAAGTTAATGAGATTTTTCAAGGAAAGAAGTGTATATGTTTGGGAACTTACAACCTTCTGTCAGGGATTCTGTTGACCAGTTCGATGCTTGGCATATTGAAGTCCCCAAGCACCCAGACAATACATTTTTGGGGGATCTTTTTTATGGAAGACCAAAGTTCATTGAGGGGTATCTCATCCTTCTCGTTAGTTTATAGAAGGAAGAGATATAGATGTCCTTTTAAAAACCTTTAAGGGACATTTTGGCCCAAACTGAATTATATTTTGATTTCAGATCAGGTTGTTCCTGGCTTAGGATGGATTTCGATATAGCAATGAGGGTTCCCCCACCTAAGCCGATTTAGGCAGTACAAAAGTGAAGTGCACTTTATTCAAGCACTAAAGCAGCTGACCACCAAACATGGTTGTAGTCTTTGTTTTACAAAAAAAAAAACAAAAAACATACATATACACACACTGGCATACATATAACGGTTTTCGTTATTGTTTTTCAGACCCATATTCATCAGAAATTTGAAAATTTGCATGTTTATACATATCGTCATTGCTGTTTCAAGCCCATGCACATAGTTCATGTGTTACATTGATATTAATTTTAAACGTTTTTTTTCCAGTTTTCATCTTCCTCCGTTTTAAGTCGTACATATGTATACATTATAGGAAAACCAGACATCTAGATGCGGTTTGTCACCAATGCCTTTGGCAATACAATTATTTGAAGTTTTTTTCTACGGATAAACCAATAATTGCTTCTATCAAACGGATTTCATTATATTGCACGGTATATTTATTTCATTATAAAGAAAGTTCGCTATTCATAAACTTGCCCTTGTTTGCATTATTACATATAATGGCTAAACACGTAATAGAATAAATGGAGTGAATATACATTATCATAAGAGTCTTAGACTTCTCTATTTCCAGATACTGGCAGTCAGAATTGCATTTAACAATGCACTTTTCTAGTGATACATCAATCAGTTTACAGTCTAACCCGGTAGCCTATACTCTAAAGAAAATTACTCCGAAAGAGATGAACCTCCATTTATTGGTTGTCGTCATTGATATATACTCTATCAGATCAAAATTGGGCGAACTATTTTTCATGTTTAATATTTTACAGGTAACATGCGTTTTAAAGGAAGTGTTAATGATAACCTACAATTACTTATTATTGGTGATACGTTCGAAAGCATGTACATCTCAAATTTAGATAGCACTTTATACAGGTACTGGGGCAGGTGACCTCCATACACGGGTTGTCGTCTTCATTTTACCCAAGACAAACTATTTTATTGGTGTAATTGGTTGAATCCTTTTAAAAATTTGTTTGCCTTCTCCTCAAATGTCGACAATTTATGTAAATTCACTTAATGATAGTCATATCATAATGTGTCGCTCCCGGATGACGCTGGAAGAGCCTAGGTTGACCCAGGCAGAGCACCGGTCGATCCAGGCAGAGCCCAGGACGATCCAGGCAGAGCCCCGTAGAATCCCAGTGGATTGAAAACGCTGCGAACATGATTACATGATTACATTGATCAATACATAATTTTTATTTTAATATAAAGAACAGTAATGCATGATGATTTTCTGAAAAATCCTTACGCAAGACTGGATAGAAATGAAATGGGAAGGGTATACAAACAAGTGCAATCATCGCAAATTGTCGTGGTTCTTTTGGAATGAACCGGGCTTTATCAGGGCTCTACCAGGATCAACCTTAGCTCATCGTCATCCTCCATGGCTCTGACTGCATTCTCCGAGGCTCTACTGGCATTCTCCGGGGCTCTGCTAGCATTCACAAGGGCTCTGCCGTAGCTCTACCGGCTATATCATACCCCGGATCATACCCGGTTTTTGCCGACAGAGCTACGGTGCTTCCCCGGTGTAACCCCGGTCATTCCCGGCAGAGCTAAGGATGAAGCCGGCAAAGCTTTACTCCCCGGGTTATTTTTTTTATTTCCGGGGTCGAATGCCAGATGTTCCAGAATCATCCCGGACGTTGCTGGCAGAGTTATGGATGTATTCCGGCCGTTCCCAGATCACCTGGACGTCTACCGGGGCTTTGCCGGGATGTAAGTGAGACTGTAGCTTAAATTATGTATTGCACTTCAGACAGGCATCGAAGCAGTTGACCTCCAAAAGCGGGTTGACATTTTACCAAAATTTACATGTTCTTAACGTAATCTTAGCTTATTAAGTACATATTATACCAGAAAATTGTAAAGTAAATGTATATACATGTAGATTTTAAAATTATAAACACTCAGACCTTACATCCGTATATTGGTGTTTAACATAATAGTCACTATTTTCATAACCTCTTTTATTAATCAAAAGTTCACTATTCCTAAACTTGCATTATTTGTAAAAAAAAAAAAAAGGTTCATATAATGGCTATATACACGTAACAAGAATAAATGGAGTTAATATACAAGTAAAGTACATGATTTTACATTCAGACATTAAACTTGTCTACATCCAGATACTGGCTGTCAGAATTGCCTTAACAATGCACTTTTCTAGGGATACATCATTCAGTTTTACAGTCCAACCCGGTAGGCTATACACTATATATGATCTTATAAGGGTATAAAAAGGTGAACCTCCATTTATTGGTTGTCGTCATTGATATATACTCTATCAGATTATGGGCGAACTGTTTTTCATGTTTAATAATTACAGGTAACATGCGTTAGGGGTGTAATTGATTACCTACAATTACTTATTATTGATGATACGTTCGGAAGCATGTACATCACAAGTTTAGATTGCACTTTATTCAGGTACTGTGGCAGGTGACCTCCATACACGGGTTGTCGTCTTTATTTTACCCCAGACAAACTATTTATTGGTGTAATTGATTGAACCCTTTAAGAAAATTGGTTTGCCTTCACCTCAAATGACGACAATTTATGTAAATTCACTTAATAATAGTCATATCATAATGTGTTTTGTAAGTGAATAAATATACAAAGCAACTAAAAGTATACAATTTCACAATTATTAGCGTTATTATATAGAGACACGCACATATTGTTTCGTGATGCTATAAGTTGCTTTGAAAACATAACTTCAATTCAACGTAGATCTAATATTGCGATATAATTAGTTTTCTTTATTAAAATAAAAACTGATGGAGAAATAAAAGTACATTTCGCATATTTACGTCCCTTTCCATTCACTATATAGATAGCAGCGTTCACTCAGACGCTCTTTAACATTCGCGCTAAAAAAAACGCTTATAATAGTAAACTCCGCCTTACTCCAGGAAAGGGATGTCTTATAGCCTCCACCTTTATCTCGTCGGTATACCGGAAAGACATTTTGGGCGGATTATATTTTTCAAAATTGTGCCATTTAGTTTTTCGTTACCATAGCAATATTTTATAGACCTATGATCATCCATGTCAGCTTACGCATTTGAAAATAGAATTTTCGGCGATCGCCTGTCCATATGCTATAACTGTTTTCTGCAATTTTCATTACCGTGCCATTAGATTGAAAACTGAATTGAGCTTTTCTAAAAAATAATGTATTAACAGTCTTCAAGAAATTATGACTTATTCATTTAAATGACAGTGCATGTGCCAACATCTCAATACTTTTCCACGTTAACTTTACTTCTTAAAGGCATTATGGACTATTAACTTTATAAGTGAAATGATCTATAATAGAAGGTCCGTAATACATTAAAAAAATACGTTGATAGTATAACATAAGAACGCCCTGAACGAATTATAATTATATATGGATGCTGCTGGCATGTATAAGATACATGATCTAATGTTAAATGTATTTATGTAGCAAAAAATTAATTGCTCTAGAACAGAATATTATTTATCATCATATAAATGATCATACTAAATCAACATTTTTAAACAATAATTAATTAGAATATGAAAATGATACATTTCAATTGCTTTTAGCAATATTTAAATACCTGGAATAAATGGAAAATGTGATCCACTTTTATCATTTCAATAATGGTACGTAATGTAACCAGTTAACCATAAAGTGGATGTTATTAGTCAGCCCATCTGTACAACTTTGATTATATATTTTTATAAATATTAAGAGCTTATTCATCATTTAAAAGGTTATTTAAAACGCCACAGACACTAAAAGACTCACGAAAAACATATTTTTCCTCAAAAAAACTTGACCAATCTCAAATAGAAACCGACTAATAAGATATAAAATAAAATGATTTTATAAATTATCTTAAGTTCAATATTTATTTGGCGAACTATTTTGTAGACTAATTCTTTGTCTCTAACAATTGGTACCGCCATTTTCTAAATCTATGTATTTTTGGCGTTGAATTCTTTACGGAAATATCTTATTTATACACTGAAATCTTAAAAGATCAAAGTTTTTACAAGATTAAAATATACAGAAATGAACATTAAGTTTACTACTTACCCAAAGTGCCCGACCGAACACGTAACCGTTTCACAATCTTGTATAAATGCGCATTTCAATCTCAAAATTTCTTCCCGATGTAAACAGTGACGTAAATTGCATTCGGTAATGAAATAATTGTCTACCAATTTGGTTAGCGAATGTTTTGAATTAATCTTGCAACAGTTTTATCCCAAAAATTTACTCTAGTTATTTTGTATGAAAAGTAGGTCTTCTTTATCTTGACCCCGGGAACAATGAATTAAGGCCCTTGTTTTGCATTTTTTGTATAAAACTGTCCAAATTCTGAGCAAAAAATAATTATTGGTGATCCAAGATACATTGCGGGCTGATTTTCAGCAGAACCAATAAATTATACAATTGACTGATTTGGCATCTTCTCAGCCCTTTACGTAAAGTTTCGAGGTGTCCGGATTGCCGATTCCTTTCTGGCTTTCAATTTCCTGTGTTGGTCTTGCATACAGAAGGACTGCAGGATGCGGGCTATGCGTTTAAGCCTCTGGACCATGTACAGTTATAATAATAACTGATACAACAATATGATAATTCACCCAGAATATTCACCCGTTGATTAATCAGTAGACCAATGGTGGGAAAAAATAGAAAAATATCCAGCCCTTAATTGCTTAATGAAGTTCCTAGTGTCATTTCAAAAAGATTGTTCTTCAATTGCAAACCGGGGAACTCAATTTCAACGGATTGTGTAACTTAAAATGGTCTCATAAATAAACAAACAAACATTTATATTTACCAAAAGACATTTATCTCTTTTAAAAAGTTTGTTATAAAAAACACCGTATTTTACCGAGTTAAAAATAATCAGTGACAAAACAATAATAATAATTATTCACTGAAAGCTTTACAAACATTTAACAACAATATACATGTATATGACATATAAACATGATAAATATTATATTATAAACAACAAGATATGACACTGATAATCGTAAAAATATTGTAAAATATACATTTATCGCTTTGAGCGACAATTCAATTTTTTAAAAATCATGTATATAAAATATAGACAATTTAATTGATAGTATTTACATAAAATGTAGATGCTATTTAGTGTACAAGTAAATTGAGATGATGTTTAGTGTACAAATAAATCCAGATGTAATATAGTAGTAGTAAGTAATAGTAAGTAGTAGTAATAAGTGTAGAAACAATTCTAAATACTTTTTAGAACATCAATAAATTTAGATGCTAATAAGTGTAGAAACAAATGTATATGCTATTTAGTGTACTTCTATAGATAATTTGAAAAAAATGGTGTATCAACAAATGCTGACTTCCTTCATCCTGTTGTTGTCTTAAAAATTATTTGAAACAGAAACTATTGGTTACTCATGTAAAAAAGCATAGATCTCTGGACAACAGCATACGATCAAACCTGTATATGATCACCCTAGGACACTTGAAAATCACCATAGTAATGTTAATTTGCACTGTAAATAGTTCATAGCGAGATATATAGATAAAAACAAATATATAGAAAAGAGCAATGTTAAGTTGTAAGGTTTCTGTTAGTGGCCTTCAATCACACGCGGTCCTAAAAGGTTTGACATAACTGACTGATTCATGGACAAACTTCTAAATAATCTTTCACAAAAATCATATAATATGTTACTTGTATATTTAACTTTAAATATCCTAAAAGATAAACACATTGTAGAAAATATAATAAGAAGAAATTTTCAACAAGAACTATGGATAGGAAAAATATACACTGATCAATTGACTTAAGACACATACAATTAATATTTTTTCAAGCAATTAATGATCTATACATGTAAATACCTGTACAAATATTATATTCATAATACATATTCACATTAGTGTATCTTCCATTTTTTTAATCAATCTTGTTTCTCAGGCGGACGGATTGGCGGACTTGAGCATTAAAAACATATTGGGTGTTAGTAATTCATTATTTTGTTAAAACGATAAAATCGTGTAATTTTAATACACATTACTTTTCCTCAGTCTTGATAATTATATATCAACGATTTATTTTATAAATATTCAGTTGTTTTTTTTATAAATATACAATATTTTCATTAAAATGATTTTTCTAACTACATGTACAATGGATTCCGAACAACTATATCGCACAAAACATCGAACATTTTTCAGTGTGGCTAACAAATATGTAACAAAAGAAAAGTATGAAACGTTTTCGGTCACAAATAAAATCTATTAAACATGGAAAAGGAAAAAACATCCAGTACATGGTCCTGTCCGTTAATAAGGGTTAGAATCCAGTAGCACTTAATTCAGCAGCCAATTTCTAAGAGACGCTTTTAATCAATTTTAAAGATAAAAAAATCAACAGATAATGGCAACGCAGTAATGACAATTTTCTTCTTTCTTTCTTCTTTTCTGTCCTAAACATATAGATGTACATGTACATAGAGATTATCATAATTTGACGTTAAAGCAGCATGCCTCCATATTCACGCTAATCTTCATGAAAATTTAAAAAATGTATTTACGTCACATATTGTAACGTGAACTAAAAAAGTAAGTGCATTTACAATCCACATAAATTAAAAATTAAATTAAAAGAGGTCAAAATATGCAAAAATAGCATATATTGTTTTAGTCACACAGAAGAATTAAATACTGCAAAATCAGTCATTAAGCGTACATAACTTGTGAATTATAACTTGAATCTTAGAATTTTAAAATCTTAGTACATTATTCACAAGTTTGATTCTCTTGCAAAGTTGCAATATTTTGGAACATTTGGAGGCATGCAACTTTAAATTTGTATTTAGTCGACAAACGCAGACGGCTGCTGTTCACTTTATGCAGACAGCAAAATTACAGGTGCAATCAAATTTTAAGAATATATAATGGTTATACATGTATAACAATGAACACATGGATTTTCAGAATATTATATAAACTACAAATTGCTTGTTCATGTCAATGAAATGTTGGATCTGAATCTGATTCCGTTATCTAAAATTTGAAATTTAAAGTTATCATATTAATTTAAAAGTTGAAAACAACATTGTATTTTAGGCTACCACCCCTCAGAATGGAAAATATATACTAAATGTAAGTAAAAATATGTTTGAAATTGTGTCATTATCAAGTTTGAAAAAATACGTTATCTTTATAAAACCTAACACGGAGTATAAATAATGGGGGAAAATATTCAACTCTTAGAAAATAAACATATATTCAGATATTTGATTTATTATAAGATCCAGATTTTGACTCACATCTTACAAATCATCCTTATATCCTGAGAATTGATCCAAATTTTGAGATTAATGCAAAATTTGATCGGATCAAAATTTTAATTATCATGGGTTCCATTTTGAATGAATGATCATATCAAATAACGAGTTGACAGCAACGTTTGTATTTATGTATTTTTTGCGAGGTTTACTTATCAGTGAATACAAAATAACGAAACCAAGCAATTTATTATAATTTACACATATTATATATTATGCGTTTCAGAAAAAGAAAAGCCATAACTAAATCTAAACAAACTGGTTACAAAACAAAACAAAACAAAAACAATTGAACGGCCTTTTTGAAAGAAATCATAACCCGAATTCAAAGGTTAGATTCATGAGACCCTTCTCTATTATAACAGGACCCCAAATATAAAAAGCTTTAGAGAAATAAAAATAAAAGCTTTTTGTGGACATAATGGGCCTTTAAACTGTATGTGTATAGTGTTCAATGATCTTTGTGCGTATGTGCACGAGTGAACAGAATGTAATATGCCATTTTTGATCGCCAAAACACATTCTCTGCAGGAATGTAGTAGAGGTCTGTTCTTAAGTTTGTAAACCAACAATATCTTTCATAAAATTCCTCATCTAAAGTAACGGTCCTGTCTGTACGTTCGTAGCTCGTGTGCTCTGTACGCCGTGCTAGCCCGTCCCGCAACCCTGACTTTCATCCAGTATAAGGTATACGCCATCGCTGCCAATAAAGCAAAAATACCCCCTATTGCTGCTAGATAGAAAGACCAGGATAAAGTCCGTAGATTTGGAAACTTAAGCCACGACTTGTCTGTGTCCGCGTGCGTACCAAAATATATCAGTCCTACTGCTACCATAATAACTGTAAATAAAAGACAACAATCGACATTTAATACAATGCAACTAAATTTCCTGCCATTTCAGTCAAACTTCAAGCAGAGACTTATTTGAAACCGACGAAATGTTAAGGAGGCTAAATTTCTATTCAAATGCATCCGGAACACCTTGGCGATTATTCGTAATCACTGTCATCCGAAGATTGAAGGAAAGAGCCGAAAAGTTGGGAATGTTTCAAATGTTTCGCTGCTCCTTCAAAGAAACGCTTTTTAAAAACATATTTATAAAATCTCATTCTTTACAGATATAGTCGTAACGTTAACCAGTTTTATTCGTTTAGTTAAGTATTAAGTTCAAATTAATGTAAGAGAAAGGCTTCTATAATTGCAGGGTGATGGTAATGTACTTCTAACATTACACATTTAAACTTGGCAAAATTTACCCCTCATTAAAAATCGTATAATGTCTATGATTGCATGTGTTTTATTTGATGAACGGGTAGGCTCTTTTACTGATGGAGGAAGGCCTGGTATGCCCCATCCGTTAAATAGTTCAGGTACGAGCAGACACCTGAGTAGAACCAACAACCCTATATTCATACACTGTGACTTAAGCCAATATACAGTCAAACAAAACATCATGTATTTCACAAAATAAAAGTAAATGGAATGCAATATTGGCTATAGTTTGTTTTTGTATTTTTAATAATAATATTTTGAATACTTACAAATAAGATAGTTTGTTATAGTTGTAAATATGGCGGAGTAGACCTGAGCCTTTGTTGGCAAACATTTCATGAGCATGAGTAACCCAAAGAGTACACAACTAAGAGAAAGGATCATACTGACGGTCATTAAAGCTTGAGTTGTTGCGAACCAACCTGTAAAACAAGAGAAAAGCGTGAATCATTTGTAAACAAGAGATAGACGCTTCGTGCGTAAACAATCAATTTTTGTATATGCTATCAAATAAGAAGGGCAATGGTTTGTCACATAAGATTTCTAGGGAAAGGTTTTCTCATAAGCACGGTGAATATTGTCATATAATAAAGGTGAATGTTGTCAAATAAAAACGGTAAAAGTTGTCAGACAAAAACGGCGAAAGCTGTCACATAAGAACGATAAAAGATGCCTTGTAAGAACGAAAAGGTTGCCACAAGAACGGTAAAAGATTTACATAAAAAGATAACCATATAAGAATTGTAAAAGTTGTCATATGAGAACGATAAATGTTGTCAGATAAAAACGGTAAAATATGCCAAGTTAGAACGTTAAAAGTTGTCACATAAGAATGGTTAAAGTTGTCACATAAGAATGGTTAAAGTTGTCACAGAAGAACGGAAAAAGATGCCACGTAAGAACGGAAATTTTAGGTTGCCACGTAAGAATGTTAAAAAGTGTCATAATTATGAGAATGTTTAAAGTTGTCACATAAGGACGGTAAAATTTGTCACATAAAAATGGCGAAGGTTGTAACAAAAGAACGGTTAAAGTTATCCCATATAAAGAATGGTTGTCACATTAGAACGTAACAGTTGTCACATAAAAACGGTAAAAGTTGTAACGTAAGAAAGGTAAAAGTTGTCACGTAAGAAAGTTGTCATGTAAGAAAGGTAAAAGTTGTCAAGTAAGAAAGGTAAAAGTTGTCACGTATAAGAAAGACTAAGGTTGTCGAATAAGAACGGTGTAGATTATCACATAAAAACAGTGAAAGTTAATACATAAAGACAGTGAATGCTGTTATATAAGAACGGTCAAGATTGTTGAACAAGAACATTCAAGATTGTCAAAACAACGATGAAGATTGGCACATAACGGTAGTTATCTTCTTCTGTATGTCATATCTTCATATCTTCATATCTTTTAAAGGTGCATGTAAAACAGTAAAAGCAATAAATTTAAGCATGCCAAACTTTAGTCAAAATATTTTAACCTACGGGATTTTTAGATAATTTTTGACATGGTCAAAATCCCAAAGCGTAGCTCTGATCGCGTTGATATTTCGACTAGCCAAACTTCAATGTTTAAAAATGTATTAATTGTAATAAATTTTACAGTGACAAATGTCACAATGAGTCATTTTTTGTTGACGGGTATAAATTATTTATTGCACTTAAGATACATGTATATTCGCGGTTGTCCCCCTTGAAAGTAAAAACAACAACTCACCTGTAATGAGATATTTCCTGATCGCATCGTATTCCCTGGCAAATATCCACCAACATCCATTGTAGGTTCGGCCGAAACTATCCCGATGATCGTAGTAGCCCGAGAAGCAGATTTCCCACAAACCGAGCTTCTCCAACTGAGTTGAAACAACAGCCCCTTCCTCAGGTACGATCCAGTACGGGGTCGAAAAGGCAATGACGATCAAAAGGCAAGAACATATACACAGTACAAACCCTAATCCTGCCCACATTAAATCTCCCATTTTTATACACTTAAATGTCTGAATTCATACAAAATAACAAGTATTTTCATAAAATACCTGTCAATTAAAGTGGATGAGTCCAATTTTGAAGTGAAGGGGTGTTGTACCTGTAAACAGTTGGTTAAGCACGCGACACAAATATTAGTATACGTCTCCTGTATGTTTTTTCCCACATTTCTTACCCCATCCCGTCAATCCCTGGGAAAAGCGTAGGAAAAGCGTGGGAAATGATCCGAGTTTAATGCTTTGACGCAAAAAAGACGGGGATAATTTCAAATTGCAATGCGAGTGGGCTTTTAGTTTGGATTTGATTCGACTGCCTTTGCACCGTGGGACCTAGTCTGGATTACCTGCCCTTTGTCTATTTGTTTACAATAGAAGCTGGGAACCAGACTACGTGGGACCTTAAATTAATCCAAAAGTTTCCGGATACAAATGACCGTGTATAACCGTACAAATGGTGTTTTTGTGCTTTATAGAGGATTGATTATCTACCCTTCGATTTTAATATCATATTACACAACAAGGTTAATAAGAAACATTTACGAATTTTCGTATTCAGTTTTATGTCAGACGCTTAATATTAGTTAAATTCATGGTATTAGATAGCACTAGCTATAAATCATTTTATTAATGCCTTTTTGTTAAAATTAATGGAGTATGTGCAAGTCCGTGCTAACAGTTTTGGTCTAGCTTGCTTTAAATAAAAAATATATCAATATAATTAAGCATCCAAGAATATATATTCACTTCTGCTTGCACCAAGTTGGCTCAGTTTTAAAGGTGGCGATTTGAAACGTTTGCCGTGCCCGTACTATCTTTGATCAGTTTATATTTTTTTCTTTTCGTACAGTGGGGCAATACCTTCGGTGCCCTGGTTTGCACTTTTAGTTTGCGCTTCATCTCGTTGATTGAAAATATATATTATGTAAAATGTATTCGATCCTTAGATATTTTGCATGTCCGGACATTTAACTATATGAAAAACCTTACTCTATAAAATAGACTAGTCCGAATTGTTGACAATTTTCCTTCATTCGGATGTAATTTGTCTTTTCCGTAAGAAATCTCTTAGATAGTCCAAGATAATGAGGATGTGTTTACCTATGATGACCTAATTACAGGTGTGACGGACATTTTTCAAAATGGAGAAAGGGACTATTGCTATGTTTTGTTTGTGTTTCGCCATCTTCTGTATGGTGATCGCATTTGCTAGTCCTTACTGGATAGAGAGCTTTGAAAAGGCCGACAATAAATTTGTGAAATTAGGGCTCTGGGAGTTTTGTTTTAACGATTATACATTCTACAAAGATTATAACGGGAAGCGGTTCCTCGGATGTTGGTATATATTTTCAACAGATGCTAGACCACTTTGGGAATGGATCTCACCTCGTAAGTTGTATCGAAAATTGTTATTTTACAAACTCACCTGTACGTACCTGTATACATGATAATGTATAATTCAAATTTTTAAGTGAAAAATCAAATACCGGAAGTTGACTCATGTAGATATACATGTATTATTTACTTAGAGTCACAGTACCTGTGCTCGACCAATATTTATAATCTATTTAGTAACTTACAGTATATTCAACGTTTTCACCTTTTTTGGAACTAGCATTTTTTTCTAGATTGAAATACTGGACTACTGACTGGATTTGCTGGAAAAAACATAAATTTTAAATACAGTTTATAAATGCTTTAACTTTATTCTTAAGCATTTCAGGGTTAAAAAGATATATATAGTAATTATAGATATTTAAAATAATTATATCTATTTTCTTATGAAACAAATATATATTTTTTTAGAGATGTACACTTTCGCATTATTGCTGTTTTTTATTTATTGAAATATATTGGTGCATTTGTGTCAGCAGTGCGACTTACAAGTTTTACTTTCAACTTATAAGTTATAACATCATATATCTATTTTCTTGTAACTTCACAGTCTTATCAGAAATCATAAAAGGTTGTCACAGCCAAAGGCCTATACATGTGTACATAACTCTAGCTTGGACTTTGACAGATTTTTATGGGAATTTATGGCCCTTTTTGATTGATTTGCACCCAACATCAATCTTCTAAATCGAGTTATTCAACCTAATCTTTATTCATGCCTTTGAGACCATAACTGGATGTCACTTTCCAAGTTCCATAACTCTGACATGGATTTTGAATGTATGGTGTCCCTTAGTAAACTTAAGAAAATTCATGATGTAACATCATTGTTCATAACTACTGAAGGTATACACTTAAACTTTATATATGTCTTTGTCACTTTTATTGAGATCACTGTTCAAGGCAGATTTTACATGCATTTTGACTGAATTATGGCCCTTTGTGAAAATAAAAAATTTTGGTTGCGATTTTACTGCTACTTGCAACATAAATCTTCAAAACTGCATGAAGATATTCCCCTGACACTTAATATATGTAATATCATAAGTGATGCTAAACATTTTGTTCATTACTTTTTTGTTTCTATTTTTAGCCTGGTTCATTTCATGCCAAGTAATGGTAAGCATCAGCTTGCTGTTTCAAGTGATCACATGTCTTATAGCAACACTAGCATACTGGAGATGTTTACCAAGCTACCTTAAACAAATGATATACATCGGAACTGCAGCAGTGTTAGGCTTATGTGGTAAGCTACAAACATGGTTTTAAAATTTGTTATCTTATAATAAAAAAAAAATTTGTCACTAATGAGTTATGTTTAGAGCTATTCTGTTTATGAATGCTGGTTTTCGATAACATATTAGCAACACTCAACTGAGAAACTAGTTTAAACATATTTATGTACATTGATTTAGGTTGATTGTGAAACAAGTTCTTGCAAATTATATTAATTAATTTCAATTCCGCTTCCTGATACCAACCCGCCGTGAGTACTTTTGTCATATGAAGAATTTAACATGGTTGTGACCCGGGTAGGCCTGGAACCCATGATCCCTGGGTTTAGAGGCAGACACCTTAACCACTTAACTACTATTATTGCAACATCTTACTTGAGTGTTCTGTATTCAAATTGATAATTCATTTAAGAGGTATATTTTTGTGCCCCCACTTTAGTGGCAGGCGTTTAGATTTACCCTTGTCCGTCTGTCCGTCCTTCCGTCCGTTCACTTTTGTGTCGCATGTAACTCAAAAGTATTTGACCGAGAGTCATGGAACTTTACAGGAATGTTGATCAGTATGTGTAGTTGTGCACCTGGGTATTTTCGTCTGGATATTTTTAGTATTTTTAGAGTTATTGCCCTTGATTTAGTAAAATTTTGCAATTTTCAACTTGTGTCGCATGTAACTCAAAAAGAATTTGACCTAGAGTCATGAAACTTTACAGAAATGTTGATCAGCATGTGAAGTTGTGCACCTGGGTATTTCGTCTGGATAATTTTAGTATTTTTAGAGTTATTTCCCTTGACTTTGTAAAATTTTGCAATTTTCAACTTGTGTCGCATGTAACTCAAAAAGTATTTGACCTAGAGTCATTAAACCTTATGGGAAGGTTACTCAGCATATTAAGTTTTGCACCCGGGGTTTCCCTTGTGGATTTATCCAGTATTTGTAGAGTTATTTCCCTTGACATAGTAAAAACCGTTTCATTATATGTTATTTGTTCCTTGAGTGCTTGAGTTAGAATCAACCAACTTTACAGGAATAATAATCAACATCACTTAATTACAGGAATAATGATACACATCACTGTTAAGCTATGAACCTGGGACTTTGCATGTGGATTTTTTTCAGTTTTGTAAGAGTTGTTGCCCTTGACTTACAATAGTATAAATTTGCAATTTTCAATTTGTTCATGCATAGCTCAAAAAGTATTGTAGGCTTCAAAGTTTACAAGAATGTTGGTCAGCATGTGTACTTATGCACCTTGGGGTTTGCTTGTGGATTTATTCAGTATTTGTAAAGTTCTTGCCCTTTACTTAGTAAAAGATTTTTAGTTTTCAAAAAATATTTGACCTAGAGTCTTAAGATTGACAGAACAGTGGCGCGGTGGGGGCACCCGTGTCCTATGGACACATTTCTAGTTATAATTTGATTAAAACATGCAATGCTTACAAAGGAACCTAAAAACTGACTGTTAAAATACATGGTAATGATTTTTTGAAATGGTTTGTTTGATATTTTGCATATGAACCAGCACATCTGTTTAGTGTTACTAACAGTTATGATAATTAAGACTTGTATTGAATATTTTGTAGAAATTTTTGTTCTTCCTTTGCACTAATTAAAATTGTACCTTTAATATTTGGAAAAATCACATGAAGTTTAACATTACTGTTGTGGAACCATTTTAAAGGGTATAAAGTTATACCTTTTAATTTGTACAATTTATTACCTGAGGAACTATGAAATTATATTGTTTCTATCATCTTATGCTAGTTTCTCGAAAGATCTCATATGTAACATAAAATGTCTACATTAATATTGTATGTAAACAGAATAAAATGTTCAAAAACAAAATAATATACTGCTATTTTTAATAGGATTTTAACTGTTTAGTAATAATTTAGTGCATGTCCTATTGGCTATTACCATGCAGGTGGCATTTGGAAGTATTCCTTTTTAAATTGAAACAATTATTATTATTTTTGCAGCAGAAATACAGTTTCACATCCTTTTGGATTAGGTATTTGATCAATTAAATCTAATTAACAATAAATTGTAAGTAATATTTCGCTAATTACCGGTATTTCAAATTTTCTTATTTTACAGTTCTGCTTATCCTCATCACTTTGATAGTGTTTGGCGTGAGAAAGGAGGACAGAGGTTGGATGCCGCGGCCGGACCAGAACTACCTATCCTGGTCATATGGCTTGTGTTGTATATCTGGCTGGTTTAGTTTGTTTGGAGCGCTCATGTTTGTCAAAGCTTCAAACGATGACATTGTGAAAGAGTACAGATAAACTCTCAATATGCCATGTGAAATTGTGAACACTTTTCTGAAACTGTATCCAGCAAATTCTAATGTATTCTTCATATTTTCAATAGAAAATCTCACATTGTACATAATGACAGGAAATTTCAAAATCTAATTATTTTCAGGCATTGACATTTATTAAGTGCTTTAATGTTTAAAACTTGCTACTGATGTTTTCACAAACAGAATTTTCTTTTATTCCGTAAAAAAGATGTTATTGTGACATTATAAGTGTTTTTGTTTTATAAACGCAGGTTACAGTACTCTATTTTGTATATATTTTAGTATGTTCCATTGTAAAATTAGCATTCCAGAATATGTATAGATGTATATACAGTCATTTTATAATGCCATCATTAATCACAATACTGGGGTTAAAACCACCATTTTTAATTACTTTTCTGGTACTTGTCAATTTCTAAACAATTTATATTAACATGATCATAAGTTTTCCAACTGAATATTTAATTTTCAATGTAAAAATGAAAATTGGTCACCAAATTTTCCTTCTCATAAATCTATAAGCAATTCTTTATCATCATTCATTTGTATATATATTGTCATAAAATACTTCATCATTTTTATACCAACTTTTTTATGTATATAATTATCCAGTCCATTTAAAGTTCTTGAATTTTTGCAATATTGAGCTTGAACTTCTTTTTTTAATGTTTCAAAATTTTCCACCTCATTTTAACAACATACCTAATACAAACATAATATTTGAACTAACCTTTTGAATATCTTTTCATCAGACACAAGATTTTCACATTTACTGCCATTAGACATAAGGTTTTTACATTTACTTTTGTAAAACAAAAGGTTTTCATATTTACATCTGTAAGACTAAAGGTTTTTACATTTACTTATGTAAAACAAAAGGTTTTCATATTTACGTCTGTTAGACTAAAGGTTTTTACATTTACTTATGTAAAACAAAAGGTTTTCATATTTACGTCTGTTAGACTAAAGGTTTTTACATTTACTTATGTAAAACAAAAGGTTTTCATATTTACGTCTGTTAGACTAAAGGTTTTTACATTTACTTATGTAAAACAAAAGGTTTTCATATTTACGTCTGTTAGACTAAAGGTTTTCACATTTACTTATGTAAAACAAAAGGTTTTCACATTTACTTCTGTAAAACAAAAGGTTTTCATATTTACTACCATAAAACAAAAAGTTTTCATATTAACTTCTGTCAGACATAAAGTTTTACCAATTATTTCTGTCAGACAAAAGGTTTTCACAGTTACTTATGTAACACAAAAAGGTTTTCACATTTACTTCTGTCAGACATAAGGTTTTACATTTACTTTCTATCAGACATAAGGTTTTCCATTTACTTCTGTCAGACATAAGGTTTTACATTTACTTCTGTCAGACATAAGGTTTTCCATTTACTTCTGTCAGACATAAGGTTTTCCATTTACTTCTGTCAGACATAATGTATTACATTTACTTCTGTCAGACATAAGGTTTTCCATTTACTTCTGTCAGACATAAGGTTTTCCATTTACTTCTGTCAGACATAAGGTTTTACATTTACTTTCTATCAGACATAAGGTTTTCCATTTACTTCTGTCAGACATAAGGTTTTCCATTTACTTCTGTCAGACATAAGGTTTTACATTTACTTCTGTCAGACATAAGGTTTTACATTTACTTTCTATCAGACATAAGGTTTACCGTTTTACATTAATTTTACTTCTGTCAGACAAAAGGTTGCACATTCTGTAAGATGAAAGGTTTTCACATTAAGTTCTATTATAGACAAGAGTTTTACATTTACTTTTGTCAGACAGGATTCACATTTACTTCTTTCAAACAAAAGCTTTTCACATTTAATTCTATAAGATGAAAACGTTTTTCAACAGCCTTTTTATGATACAATGTCATATAATGTTATGAATACAGCAAGCAATGTTATCTGTATCAATTTTGAAAGTTCTATACTGTGGAAATTTACTCATGTCATTTTTTGTACATTCTGACAATTGTAATATATGTATTAAATATATTTTTATATAAACCATTCTCAATAAAAAAAATGGATTAAATCATCACTCTTGCGTCTATATACCTGACATTTTACTAGATACATAACCGTGTCCTTTTTATTTGAGTTGGGTATTGCTGCAATCTGACAAGTTCAGATCTACTTAATTCTTACATGTAGATCTGATAACCACTTTATCTGTTTCAACTTCATTATGATTCAGATTTTCCGAAAAAGCTTTTTTTAGCCACGCAGTCAAACCTGTTTTTACAGATAGGCATTAGATGAAATATCAAAATTTTGTTGTCCGTGGAAGTTTAAAAAAAATTGAAGTAATTTGAAGCAATCAAACTGGAAAGAGTAGACTCTGTTTTTAATTGGCAAGATTGTATTTCCAGTTAACCTGCTGGTCAACGTCATGTTTGTTTTCAAAATCGTGAAAATTACCTACTCCGTATTGGTTTTTCAGTGGTTATAATTAAAACCGCATTGCTTTCCAATGTGAAAGCTCTCGGATGATTGGCTGTTCAAAAAATCAGGAGGTGACTACCTATTGCTGATCGTCAGATCCTAATACGAAGTGTTATTTGGCCGATTATAATCAGTTGGGTATTGCTGCTGAAAATGTATCACACTATTGTCACGATATGTTAGATGATCACAATACAGTATCAGGATACTTACATTTAGACAAAATGAATGCAGCTTGTTAGGTTCTCGTATTTCTCGTATTTCTATGTTAATATCCACTATACCATTATAGTCCTGTTTATATCGTTATACATATACCACCTTAGTGACAAGAACAAATTTTCAAATCTCAAAACGAGTATTTATACTTCATTCTACTGGCTTCAAATATATATTTTGTAAAGTATCAAGTCTCTAAAACTACAGTACTGTTTAAACAGTAAAACCAGACAATGTATTGCTAGACACTGATACCTCCACATTGTATCAAAAAACTTAATCATGAGTGCAATTATCACAATTCATCTCTTCATTTGGAGCATCAATAACTTTTATTTCAAATTTTCACCAGTTCATGATATACAAATTAAGAATTCTAAGGAAGGAATCAAACTGCACAAAAAGTTAATTTTGAAAATACTGAATTTATCACTATCGCTGGAGGGGGTAGTACACCATTAAAAATATATTTGAGTGGTGACACAGCTAAGTGGTTCATGCATCAGAGAAGTAATTGATGGATTGTTCTATATAGAATTTATTTTAGTTTGATTGTGTAGGAACTATAAGCTTATAGACATACTGTTGGATCTGTTCCTGTAATCGACCAGTACTGGACAATGAGTGTAAAGTTTCTTGCTCAAGGATCCCATTTTCGGGGCATGGCCAAGAATCTCGAATCTCATTTCTTAGTACTGCATGGTTCCTAGAACACTAGATTGGAACACATGTACTGTTACTTGTTATGGGTTCATATCCAGTATTAGGGACTTTGGAATCTTTTATTTACACTTGTATTTGAAGTAATGCATCAAGAGGGCACCTCTTTTTCCACCACCAATACATCTTAAAAAGCTGCCCTTAAAGTGTTGGTGTAAATTGCAAACACTTGCTCTATGATGGCCTTTTTAGAAGAATTCTGTTGTTGTCATGAGGATAAAAGTGGGGTCAGTTGTTGGTTGATGAAATAATAAAAGTCTTGATGGTACATGCATATACATGTATATTTTTGGTTGGGTTTTACAGCACACCAACAGAGAAGAGGAAGACTTTCCAGCTTTACTGATGGAGGAAGACATCGGGTGCCCTTCCTAGCCTAATTTCAGACACAAACAGGTACCTGTGTAGAACTACGGACGTTCTGTAAGCTAGCTGGATAGGCTCATCACATGACCCTGGCTAGATTCAAACCCACAGTGGTGAGGGGCAAACGGTTTGAAGTCAGTGACCTTAACCACTTGGTAAAGGATGCCCCACAGGGATGGTTCTTAAACTGAACAACAAAACATTATCATACAAGATATTAATATATTTTAACAATCATATAACAAATTTCTATATTACAAGAGATTCTGACCAAGATCAGAGGTTATTTAAAGTGATATTGCTGTCAATTTGAGCTTTGTCAGCTACAAATAGCAACAAAAATTGACTTTATGATGGTGATTAACTACTAGTTGATAAATCATAAAACTTAAAACAATTATGGCAAAATGCAATGTTTTTTTCGACTACGCGTAAAACATTAAAACTTGGATATGCATAATGTCACTTTAAAGTCAAAGATTACAAGTCATTACAGACTTTAACACATGTATGTTCTATGTCCTTGATAATACACCATCATAATATTCATTTGATACCCTGTAAACAAGCTGGAATTCTTCCCATTTCTAACAGACATATATTACTTCACTCTGACGTCTCCCATGAATTAATCACCACACTTACTACCATCTCTATCAAACATATCACAACCAATTCTGTAGAATCCAGAAATATACTAATAAATGTTAACTTTCTAACTGAAATATCAAATTCTGATTTCTATTTCCATATCACGCACAATTCAATTTATAAATCTTTCTCCACTCATTTTAAAATTTTTCATCGTTTAATTCAAAAGATATTTGTTTTCATCATTCTATGTGCTTTCACCTGTCATTATAAGTGGTTACCACATAATTTGGATATGTCATTATTTTTGCTGACCAAGTTCTTTTGCTCTCAGTGTCGCAGCCTCCACGGCATCAATAAGTGACGCTCTAAATCCACCACGCTCGAGTTTATGCATGGCTGCTATAGTAGTGCCTCCCGGGGAACAAACTTCGTCTTTCAACTGGCCTGGATGTTTTCCTGTTTCTAACACCATTTTTGCCGCACCCTGTAATATACATGTATATTAAATCAAAAATCTTTGCTCACTGGATAATAAACTTTGCCTTTGATCAGTTTTCAGATAAATCCTACGTCTCAAGGATATAAAACTTATAATTATAATTTACGTAATATAAATTTGAAAAAATATTTGAAGGAAATAGAATGATTTTGTTGTTATGACGCATGTTTGAATACATGCAACATCATTGTTGGGGCAATCTACCCCTCCGTTGAAACGGTTGCATTACCAATTATGATTCAGACTAACACTATTGAAACATTTTACATTTAATTATAAATTAATATTCATGTTGTTGTAAGTCTCATTTTATATGCAATTTTACTGCATTTACATTGATGTTGTTACATATCTGACGGATCTAAAAATAAATGTATATGTGGTTTCCTTCGGCAAGTTCCGGAAACATGTAAATGTATAAATGCAATATACTCCAGTCATATACAAGTCATCAGTCTTTATATTGACATATAACTGAGGCTAGTAGATGAATACAGTGTATTCAATACATACATGGATTTTCGTATTTCCTCAGTCATAAAAGACAGTAATTTCACCAGAAAACTTATAACTTGTATATAATAAGGCTTTATAAATGTACTTTTTCAACCACAGGAACAAGGTTAGCACAGTCATGTAGATTGTATGAGTCATGGACCGTTCCGATTATTTCCGCCTATTGCGCAATCCCTAGTGATTGTTGCTATGCCTCACAAGCCAGCATCCAAAATGGCGGCCGTATCAACAACAACCGACTCGCTAGAAGATGTGCCCGATAATATATCTATTAGTTTTCTACCTTATCACAGAAGTCTTATGGAAAGGATTATAAAAAGAGGTTTAAATTACTATCTTCAAGGCTATGTCCATCAAATTAAGGTTCATATTGACGATAAACCCAAGGTAAAGGTTGTTGCTCGGTGTTGGAGATCAATGAGGAAAAACGAAAAGCCGCACACTCTACACATTGAGATTCTTAAAGATACTATAACAGAGTCGTACTGCTCTTGTAAGGTTGGGTAAGTAATCAAGTACGTAAAATTGTCAACAACTTAAGTAGGCTTTCTTTGGGGATTCTGTATTTCTCTATTTTAGAATAAAAAAAAATGAATTGCACCCCTCCTACTTTCCAAAAAAAATAAAATAATAAAATAAATTAAATAAATAAAAAATATAAAAAAAATGTATATACTATACACCATTATGTAGATCTATTTATTATATAACTATGTCGGATTTTTTTTAAAAATTAATTCTCTCTCAGTAAAGAAAAAAGATATCGTAGACAGAAGAGTCATGGTGTATTTTTTCTGTCAACTTAATCAAAACAGATCTAATGATAACAAAAATGATCATCATCATCATCATCATCATGATTTATCACCATCATTGTTGAATCACTGTTTGATACAATAATAATGTGCAGTCTTGTATATTTCAGATTAACAGGCCACTGTTCCCACATTATTGGTCTAGTGAAAACCCTTCAAGGGCTGAAACTACACAACATCAGTAATGTACCTGACCAGTTTGAGTTTGTACAAGTGTGCCCCAGCAATGGCATGTTCCAAGAGGAGAGAAGATTGAGCCTGTCCCACTTAACCATGTTGTGGTGGCCAAAGCTTGTGAGACGAGGAAGAGAAAACCAGTTTTATGCCAAGTTGACACTCAGTACAAGTAAGATTTTAAACAAAGTACAAAAAGTAACTACACATATGTTTTTAAAATTTCATTCTTTATTTATATTATATAACTATAACAAAAATCCATATAGGCGTTTTACTTATATACATTTAACAACAATGTCAGATACTTGTACATTTTACATGTATAAAATTTGTAAAGAATGTTTTAATTTTATGAAATCTTTCACATAAATTTACAGGCTTCCAGAGGTTACCAGCAATGATATAGAGCAGTTAAAAGGGGCCAAAGCACACCTCTTGAATACCTTCTCTCATCAAAGAGGCCATTAGTTACAACAGATCTTGGTCAAGTTCAGCTTGGTTCATTTCTGTCATATCAGGTAATATATTTTTACATACAATATTTTAACATCTATGTGATATAGATAAGATTTAATTGAAGATACTCTATGCTCATTCTTGGGTAAAATGTTTTAATCACAGAAATTTATTGAAATCTATGATATTCTTACTGAATATGTTGAATTTGGATAAAATATTAAATAAACTATGTATAGGAAGCTGCATTCCTTTAACAGGTCAAGTAAAGTTGGTCTTTTCTTAAAAAAACTGCCAGATTTTTGTAATGACACTATACATATATATTCATATTGTGACCACCTATAGTATGTAGCATTTTAAACATAACATATCTATTTTGTGTGAAGTCAATACATGTTTATTTTATATTTACTGTGTACTAATTATCAATATTTTTCTAATATCAAATTTGAGCATAGTATATCTTTAATACAAATTCAGCCAAAATCAATCAAGTAATAATATAACTACTAATTTGGCAGTAGTATGTTAACATTTGTTAAACAAAGTTATTGCAACTCAGACAGTCATTTGTCTTTTACAAATATTCTCTGATGTAATGTAAGTATTGCACAAACAGACCAGATCTTATTAGCTTGTTTAAATAATGATGTAGGAATTTTATGAGACAACAATTTATATGTCTTCACTTTAAGCTATTACTCTTTCAACATGAACTCTGTGTTTGGCAATTTTTTGAGTTAAATAAGTATCAGATGAAGACATTTGTGATGAACAAGAAGAAAATGGGGGAATGTTTAACACAAGGCCAAGTTTATTAAGTTCCTCTTGTATTGTAAATCCTTTATCAGCCATTTATACCATCACCTGGATTAATGTAACCATGGTTTAACAAATCTTTCAATATGGCATAAAATCCACTTTCTTCACAGATCATTTTGTCTGATATTGAACCAGTAAAAAGCTCAGAAATAAAAATTACAGATCCACTTGGGTCACACCCAATTAAAGCTTTAAGAGTAGTAGATGATTTGTAATCACTGTACATTTGACTTTGAAGAGCTAATGCATTTGGTACTTGAGTTTTGAATTCTGTTCCATCTATCATAATTAAGGTTGTAGGAAAATCTTTTCTAAATTCTGCTGGCATTCTAGATATAATATCATCCCTTGGGGGCCACAGTGAAATCTGACCAAATTTAAAATATAAAATATCTAAGAGTTTGTTAAATACAATGCCTGTTGACTGCAAAGATAAACTAAATCTCATTGCCAAATCTTTCAGTCCAAAATCATGCCTTAATCTGCATAGTACAAGAAGAAGTGCATCTTCATTTGATAGTAGCTTAGTGTCAGTCCTACCATATTTAACAGTTTCTTGTGAATTTGGAAACAAAAAAGAAAACAAAAATAAAAAAGTTGACATAAGTTATTCCAGTGTAATATTTAAACAAGTTTTCATATCCTTTTCCCTATTTCTAATTCCTTCTGCAGAAAATGGTTGTTTCTTTTTCATATCTCTTTCCAGATGTTGTAATTTTGATTTCAGTCTATTAATTTCTTTGTCTTTCTCCAATAATTGAATTTTTAGCTGCAAGTTTTCCTCATGTAGATGAACATCTTGATTCTCTGAAATAATATATATGCATTTTGATTTCAGACAAGAAATTTGAAGTCAATGATTCCTGTAACAACAAATGGCTGTGGTAACCTCTGTGTCACAAACTCATCACAAATTAGACTGCCTGAAAAGTTTCAGCACTTAATAAGTCATTATACAGTAACAGACCCACAGACATTAGAGCAATGTACAAGAAACCAGGCAATGTCTGAAACATGGCATCAAGCTAGACAAAATAGGCTAACAGCATCAAACTTTGGTGATATCATGTTAAGGAAATCTCCCCCTAATGAAAAATTACTGTCACGTTTATTTTCTACCAGTAAAGATATTCATGGCCCCATCTATATCTTATGGGAAAAGAAATGAGAGCAAAGCCAAGTCTAAATATCTAGCTCAGTTTCCTGGAAGACACATTCATGAATGTGGTTTTGTTGTAAATAATGAGTTTCCATTTTTGGGTGCAACCCCAGATGGAAAAACTCTGTGATAATGGAAAAGTAGGATTATAGAAATAAAATGTCCCTATAGTGCCAGAGACTTGACTGTTGCTGATGCTTGCTGCCAATTAAATAATTTCTTTTTACACACTGATCAGAATGGCCAGGTTGTACTGAAATCAAATCATGCATACTATGCCCAGGTTCAAGGGCAGCTCATGATTACAGGTAGTTCATTCTGTGATTTCATTGTATATTGTCCAAATGAGTCCGACTTGTTTGTTCAGCGTGTTGAACCAGATGTTGAATTTATGACAAATATGCTAAATGTATTAGCCAGTTTTTTTGAACAGTATGCTCATCCTTTCTTACATTGCAGTCATGGAAATGTATAGTTTCAAACTATATTTAATGTGTGAATGACATATTGCAGCTTATATGGCCATGCATAAATAACTGTTTGCAATATAACCTTTACATAGAAGTTTGGGTTATATAAGTTTACACTAAATTATACTTGGCCATATAAATATGATATACATGTGTTACATATTGACATTTGATTAATGTGTCATGACCAATACCTTTGTCTGTTTGGCAGCCAACTTCACATTGTCCACACTTAGTTCATAATTTCTTTGATTTCCATCATCTGTAGTTGTTTGTACATTTCTGAAATAATTAAAGAAGATGCATTAGTATCAGTAATTATGACTGTTTCATAATTTACAAAATTTATATTTGAGCATGGAGTGAAGTTCATTCCTATTAGAAACAATTATCAATTTGTTTATTATAACATACCCTTATTTGTTACAAACACACATGTAATATTTAGTACTGTGTTAATTAGCATACAATTGAGTAAAAAAGGCTTCTGTGTAGGCTAAGACAAAGATGCATGGACTCTCTTTCAAAATTTTCATGTCAATGTGACAAAATTCTACTGAAGTTACAGTTGTGTACAGTCAGTTTAACAAGTTTTTTATTTATCTATTAAATATACTGATGTAATAAATTTGTTGAATTTTATTTCACTTTTGATTTTACAGATATGTAAACAAATTCAGATGATTTAAATAAAAAGTGCCATTGTTCAAAGGCTTATCATTAATGAATAAACTTCAAAAATTTGAAATTTTAACCTTACTCTTTGTTTTTTTTCTTGTTCAACCAAAATGTCAAATGATATAGGTGCTTCCAAGTCCAACCGCCTGCGCTTGGGTGGTGGTCTGGTAGGAGATGCCAATGATCCATCAGCTGGCAGGGGATCTGGATATTTATCAGTTGGCCCATTTTCTCCCATGAAGTGCTGTAATTATGTGAATAAGTGATTACTTGTGTTAAAAAAGAATAAATAAAAGTAACAATACTGGAGGTAGAGCTCTATATGACATATAAATGAAACAAAAGATCTGTATACAGTAACCATTTATCCAGCTGAAAGGGTCATAATGTCATAATTTATAAAATGGCTTTTCAGTATTTTTTGTATGCTTAACAAAATAACAAAATATTATTTTACTTATTTGGTTAAAAGATCAGTCCTCTAACAAATTATATTATTTTTCATGGTCACTATTTTTTTGTAACTTATAGCCTACCACCCATGAAGTTAGCCATTTAATGCATGATGCATCAACATATGCTTTTTTTACTGAATTGATAATGAATGTTCTGACAAAAGTCAAAGAGAAAATGTATTATGAAAATATAAAAAAAGTTTGGAGCAGTTTATAATTATTTTTAAGGCTGGCCAGTTTTAGGCTCAACATTATTCAGGCACATACTACAGTATAGTTCATTAGGCTAGTTCATAAGTTGCTTTGAACTGTCAAAATAAACTGACAACAACATGTATCCACAAAGTGGCACACATCAAACAAATCAAAAGCCAGCCTGGCTTGGTAAATCATTTCATGTTTAAATCAGCATTTCTTACAGATTCACTTACCGTTGAACACACGACCTTATTTTTGTTAATCCTGCTGACATTTAACTGTTCATGCGGTCGGGCGCATGCCTTTATCCACCGTAAACACTTCTCAAATTGAGTTTTAGGTTAGGAAATGTTATGAATCTGACCCCAATCATCTTATCAGGATACCTGCAATCTGCATTGCATGTTCCCCAGGCACATCTACGCACCATTTTGAATAAAACCGCGGTATTTACTTTTGATGTAGCAGTTGCCAAGTGAAAGCTTGTGAGCACAAGATGGCGGGTAGCAACAAGCAATACCGCACTGAAGTAAACGGATCACTTTCATTGGTTAAAAATATCCGTCGCGGAACGGTCCATTTTATGAGTGACTTGATACTGTAAAACTACAATCAAAATTAAATGATTATCTATAAAGAGCATTGAAAAAATACTGCAAGGTTTACAATATATTTTTAGTCACATTATGTGTTTCCTCCGTATAATGTAGAATAGATAGGTTTATATGGAACACTGCTCTGTACAATACAGGTTATATTGGACTCAAACACTGCTATATTGAAATCATACAAGACAAGCCACCACGGTTTTCAGCCATGTAATTACCCAAATATGTTCCTGTATAGTACAGTGCAATGTTATATAACTTATCAATATAATTATGAGTTACCAATAATGTTTGAGCTGCTAATTTGATTGCGAGATCTCTGGGTAGACCCATTTTCACTCCTCCATCAGAGAGAGCTTCTATAGCTGTGAATGCCTGTAATACATAAGAACACATATGGTACTATAAAAATCTATAATTCTTGGGTTTTCTGTGACAAAGCAAATTCAGTAACCATATCAAAACTAAAGTATAAACAATGCACCTTTGTCAATTTTAAAACATTATTTTGTTTCAAATATGAGAATTCGTATTTTCTAACGACCAAGAAAGCAAATTAGTAAAGATAATAAATCTTAAACATTTTCTATTTTAAACTATACATGTACTAGTTTGCTGATTTAAAAAGAACATGAAATAATTCAACAACAATTCAACATTCTTATTTAGCACCTTATGGTTCATTACAAAAACTTCAACAATTGTTTTTTTAATAATGAAGTTAAGATCCATTCATATATGTCCTGGGTAAGTACCAAATCTATAAGGCAATTTTGAAGATAAGGCCACACCCAGTTGATCTCAAGTTCTACAGATCTTAGAGAAGAAAATAAATTTTGTGAGAGCAAATAAAATTCATTTATTTTTTCTAAATTCAATTTTAATTTGACTGAAGTACTTTTAGGTCATGAGGACAATCTTCCTTGTAAATGAATAAATATAACATTTCCTAGATAAGTTCACAGTAACATAATTACATAAGCAGGTCCACTGCCGCTCAAACCCGTCACAGCATCTAGTAACTTCTCTGATCCAGGTTCAACAATTCCAAAACATCGCAATAGCTCCATAACAATTTCCGTGTCTTCAGGTTCGACCTCCTTCCCTGGCGAGAGGACCGAGGCCGCGGCCAGCACTAGGGCCGGGGTGTTAGGCATTACCCGTATAACTTTAGAACCCACTGGAAGATTCTGAAATCACAGCTGTATGAGAATCACAAAAGTATGATGACATCAGTAATCTTTGGACACCAGGTATTAGCTTAAAAATTTTTGAACTATAGGCAGCGCAAACCTTATTTTTGACATATAGACCATTAGACAGGTTTTACTGTACTTCTAGATTATAAATTATCATCAATAACCATATTAAACCAACTTGATTTTTTTTGGGGGGGGTATTCTTTATTTAATTCAATCAGATGACTTCTGTAAATGCAGAGTAACATAGTACATGTAATATGTTGGATGTGCACAGCAGGCATGGTATATGTTTAACAAGTCTAACGATAGATATACAAGATCTAAACATGAGCCCTGGATATGCCTCTTGACAGAATTTATATTTGTAACATTATAACTTCTAATAAGTTCTGATAGCTAAGCATTTTTAGGTCCTATAACATGCACTTTAAAATCTCCAAGAATTATAGCAAAGAAAATGAATGGACACTGCAAATAATTGGAATTTTTCACATTTCTGTCAAAAAATGCTTAATTGTACCCAAAACATAACTTGACCTGGATATTCTTATGATAAATCTGTATAACAAATTTCATTTCAGGATGTGCAACCTCTGTGATGAAAATGAACACCGTAGGGAACGTGTTACAGTATCGCGTTTTTCGGTTACAGTATAGAATTTTAAAGATGGAGGATTATTTGTTGGGAGGACAGGTAGGTGATTTGTATTCCGGTCCATACTGCAAGTAGTTTAGTTTCTAAAAGATGTTTTTGTGCTTTGCTTGTAAGGAAAAGAATCCGGTATCTGGTCATATATTTCTTTAGACCCTGCACCGCAGATTTATCGCTATATTGTCTCATAAATATGCAGATTTGACAGTTTGAAAATTTGAATCGAGAGACCAACACATTTTTCTGCAATTTCGACATTATTTATGCATGCCTAGAAAAAGTAATCTGCAAAACGTTAGTCCTTTATGTTAGGAAACGTTTATAAAAGTAAATGACCAGTTGAACCTATTTTCCTGTTCGTTAAATGCGTTTGAAAAAATAAACAATGTTACAGTATAGAGCGAGGTAATTTGTGCCGGGTTACAGCATAGACCTAGCGATTTGTATCCGATTTTGTTACAGTTTATACCCAGATTTCGGTTACAGTTTAGACTTCGATATTTTCTATATATACTTGTATGAATGTTACATAGACTTTTAAATCTCTGTGAGCTTATTGGTCCGATGGCTATTCGTCCGTCTGTCGTACATAATTATGTGTGTGCAATCTAATCCGCTCAGTAACTACTTGACTAAATGTGATGAAATTTACATAACTTTCTACCAATTAAGATGTTCAAATGGTTTCGGTTGCAATCGGGGATACGAAAACCCAAAACATAGATTTTGAAAAAAGGCAATGTTTAAAGACCCTTCTCATCTCGAACCAAAAGCATTCAAATCAAATCATGATCACGGCGTCATTTCGAATGCTTCTTTGTTGAAGTTACGATTATTTTGTCATTATTAAATTAAAAGTCGTTTTCTTTATTTCAGACATCCTGTATAGCAGTTTTCAATTTTCTGAAAAAGAAAATTAAAGAGTATAAATCAAGGTCAGACAATTACAATATTTTCTCTAGTGAGCCTGATGGAGGTACATAATAGTGGCAGAGTCGGCCGTCGACTTCAAATCATCTTTCATTTACTGCTGTAGTTGAAATCCAATCATGACTTTCGATTCTTTGTATGTGAGGAATCTATCAAGCTAATTTACTGAAGGTCGGTGGTTCTAGTCAGGTGCCCGCTCGTGTCTTTAATGTTTCACAAAGGGTATCTGGGGTCTTTCTTTACACTAAAGCAGAAATGTTTTCACATGACTTCAGTGTCGTTGAAACTTAAAATCCAAGAAAGCCAAACTTAACAAAATAGAGTTAAACAGAATCCCTAAAGAAATTCCAACAGAACAAAATTGAAAATATTCATAAACCCTTTTAAGTACTTACAAAATACATTATGGTAGATGGAAATTCCAACTTAAAATAAAACAAGATATGTTTGTAAAACATGTATGCCCCCTATCAGCAGCCAATTAGTCATGTGATAAAGTTATTATGCATGACTTCTGACCCAATGATCAAACAATTAATAAGGGTTATCAAGTATCTACTGGTCATGACCTTAACCTTTGACCCCTTGACCCAAAACTCAATAGGGGTCATCTGCTGGTCACGACCAATCATCATACAAAGTTTGAAGTTCCTAGGCCTAAGCGTTTTTAGTTAATTGATCAGAAAACCGTTTTTACCTACAAGGTCAATGTGACCTTGATCTTTGACCACTTGACCCCAAAATCAATAGGTCAGCTGCTGGTCATGACCAATCACCATACCAAGTTTGAAGTTCCTAGGCCTAAGGGTTCTTTAGTTATTGATTGGAAACCGTTTTAACATACAAGGTCAATGTGACCTTGACCTTTGACCCCAAAATCAATAGGGGTAATCTGCTGGTCATGACAAATCACCATGCCAAGTTTGAAGTTCCTAGGCCTAAGTGTTCTTAAGTTATTGATCAGAAACCGTTTTTACTTACAAGGTCAATGTGACGTTGACCTTTGACCCCTTGACCCAAAACTCAATAGGGGTCATCTGCATGTCACAACCAATCATCATACAAAGTTTGAAGTTCCTAGGCCTAAGCGTTTTTAGTTAATTGATTGGAAACCGTTTTTACCTACAAGGTCAATGTGACCTTGACCTTTGACCCCTTGACCCCAAAATCAAAAGGTCATCTGCTGGTCATGACCAATCACCATACCAAGTTTGAAGTTCCTAGGCCTAAGGGTTCTTTAGTTATTGATCGGAAACCGTTTTTACCTTAGAAGTCAATGTGACCTTGACCTTTGACCCCTTGAACCCAAAATCATTAGGGGTCATCTGCTGGTCATGACCAATCACCATACCAAGTTTGAAGTTCCTAGGCCTAAAAGTTCTTAAGTTATTGATCGGAAACCGTTTTTTGCTTACAAGGTCAATGTGACCTTGACCTTTGACCCCTTGACCCCAAAATCAATAGGGGTCATCTACTGATCACGACCAATCACCATACCAAGTTTGAAGTTCCTAGGCCTTAAGGTTCTTAAGTTATTGATCGGAATCCGTTTTTGCTCACAAGGTCAATGTGACCTTGACCTTTGACCCCTTGACCCCAAAATCAATAGGGGTCATCTACTGATCACGACCAATCACCATACCAAGTTTGAAGTTCCTAGGCCTTAAGGTTCTTTAGTTATTGATCGGAAACCGTTTTTGCTCACAAGGTCAATGTGACCTTGACCTTTGACCCCTTGACCCCAAAAATCAATAGGGGTCATCTACTGATCACGACCAATCACCATACCAAGTTTGAAGTTCCTAGGCCTTAAGGTTCTTTAGTTATTGATCGGAAACCGTTTTTGCTCACAAGGTCAATGTGACCTTGACCTTTGACCCCTTGACCCCAAAATCAATAGGGGTCATCTACTGATCACAACCAATCACCATACCAAGTTTGAAGTTCCTAGGCCTTAAGGTTCTTTAGTTATTGATCGGAAACCGTTTTTGCTCACAAGGTCAATGTGACCTTGACCTTTGACCCCTTGACCCCAAAATCAATAGGGGTCATCTACTGATCAGGACCAATCACCATACCAAGTTTGAAGTTCCTAGGCCTTAAGGTTCTATAGTTATTGATCGGAAACCGTTTTTGCTTACAAGGTCAATGTGACCTTGACCTTTGACCCCTTGACCCCAAAATCAATAGGGGTCATCTACTGATCATGACCAATCACCATACCAAGTTTGAAGTTCCTAGGCCTTAAGGTTCTTTAGTTATTGATCGGAAACCGTTTTTGCTTACAAGGTCAATGTGACCTTGACCTTTGACCCCTTGACCCCAAAATCAATAGGGGTCATCTACTGATCATGACCAATCACCATACCAAGTTTGAAGTTCCTAGGCCTTAAGGTTCTTTAGTTATTGATCGGAAACCGTTTTTGCTTACAAGGTCAATGTGACCTTGACCTTTGACCCCTTGACCCCAAAATCAATAGGGGTCATCTACTGATCATGACCAATCACCATACCAAGTTTGAAGTTCCTAGGCCTTAAGGTTCTTTAGTTATTGATCGGAAACCGTTTTTGCTTACAAGGTCAATGTGACCTTGACCTTTGACCCCTTGACCCCAAAATCAATAGGGGTCATCTACTGATCATGACCAATCACCATACCAAGTTTGAAGTTCCTAGGCCTTAAGGTTCTTTAGTTATTGATCGGAAACCGTTTTTTGCTTACAAGGTCAATGTGACCTTGACCTTTGACCCCTTGACCCCAAAATCAATAGGGGTCATCTACTGATCATGACCAATCACCATACCAAGTTTGAAGTTCCTAGGCCTTAAGGTTCTTTAGTTATTGATCGGAAACCGTTTTTGCTTACAAGGTCAATGTGACCTTGACCTTTGACCCCTTGACCCCAAAATCAATAGGGGTAATCTACTGATCATGACCAATCACCATACCAAGTTTGAAGTTCCTAGGCCTTAAGGTTCTTTAGTTATTGATCGGAAACCGTTTTTGCTTACAAGGTCAATGTGACCTTGACCTTTGACCCCTTGACCCCAAAATCAATAGGGGTCATCTACTGATCATGACCAATCACCATACCAAGTTTGAAGTTCCTAGGCCTTAAGGTTCTTTAGTTATTGATCGGAAACCGTTTTTGCTTACAAGGTCAATGTGACCTTGACCTTTGACCCCTTGACCCCAAAATCAATAGGGGTCATCTACTGATCATGACCAATCACCATACCAAGTTTGAAGTTCCTAGGCCTTAAGGTTCTTTAGTTATTGATCGGAAACCGTTTTTGCTTACAAGGTCAATGTGACTGTGACCTTTGACCCCTTGACCCCAAAATCAAAAGGGGTCATCTACTGATCATGACCAATCACCATACCAAGTTTGATGTTCCTAGGCCTTGAGGTTCTTTAGTTATTGATCGGAAACCGTTTTTGCTTACAAGGTCAATGTGACCTTGACCTTTGACCCCTTGACCCCAAAATCAATAGGGGTCATCTACTGATCATGACCAATCACCATACCAAGTTTGAAGTTCCTAGGCCTTGAGGTTCTTTAGTTATTGATCGGAAACCGTTTTTGCTTACAAGGTCAATGTGACCTTGACCTTTGACCCCTTGACCCCAAAATCAATAGGGGTCATCTACTGATCATGACCAATCACCATACCAAGTTTGAAGTTCCTAGGCCTTAAGGTTCTTTAGTTATTGATCGGAAACCGTTTTTGCTTACAAGGTCAATGTGACCTTGACCTTTGACCCCTTGACCCCAAAATCAATAGGGGTCATCTACTGGTCATGACCAATCACCATACCAAGTTTGAAGTTCCTAGGCCTAAGGGTTCTTTAGTTATCACTCGGAAACCATTTGGTCTACGGACCGACGGACCGACGGACCGACGGACCGACGGACCGACAAGTGCAAAGCAATATACCCCCTTTTCTTCGAAATGGGGGCATAATTAAAGGTTGTAGTATTGCTCTCTTAAATACTGTTTAATCATTCTTAGGGTATTGCCTGCCTGTTAATTGTGTCTTTTGACAGCTTATCTATGGTATGCAGGCTTCATGACCTCCGATCCCCTCTCAAAATTTCATTTTGTTTAGTTTCACTCATTGTATTCTCGTTTAGGGCACACGCAAGTTTTAACCTGGGGGTAATATGCCGCTTTTCACAGAATGGCAATAACGTGTGACATTAAAGGTTCGATGATAACCGCCATATGAACACATCCACAGATGTTAAAAAATCTGAAGTGCACCAGTTCATTTTTAATGTGAATTCTGCTGAAGCCGGTGCTAGGAGGCGTGGACGGTAGCTTGCAGTTACCACTACCGTCCATGAACAGGTTTAATCAAACTGAGCCTGCAACATTTTCATGTTTTCCGTGTTGGACTTCTGTTAAGGATTATGTTTTCTCTATTTTATTACTAATGGGCATTATAATAATGTGTAATGATATCAAGCAATAATCTTTCTTCTCTCAATACAATTCGATAAAAGTTACTGTTGTTGTCGTGAAAACAGTCCTTACTTAGGACATTACTTTTTCTGCAAAAAGTCTCAATCTGAAACTTAAAGTAAGATAAATAGCAAACTATAACTTTTCTGCTGAAGAAAAAAAGTAATACAGCTTTTCAAGAATGTATTAAATAGAAAGGTATGAGTTATTTCATAAAAATAATGGATACACGAACTTTGTTTGAAATTTGGCAAGTATCTAAACTGTAACAAAAATCTGGGTATAAACTGTAACAAAATTGGATGAAAGTCACTAGGTCTATGCTGTAACACTTCAAAATTAACCTCGCTCTATACTGTAACATTGTTTATTTTTTCAAACGCATTTTACCAACAGGAAAATAGGTTCAACTGGTCATTTACTTTTATAAACGTTTCTAAACATAAAGGACTAACGTTTTGTAGATTTACTTTATCTAGGCATGCTTAAATAATGTCGGAATGGGAGAAAAATGCGTTGGTCTCTCGATTCAAATTTTTAAACTGTCAAATCTGCACATTTATGAGATAATATAGAGATAAATCTGCGGTGCAGGGTCTGAAGAAATATATGACTAGATACCGGATTCTGTTCCTTACAAGCAAAGCACAAAAACATCTTTTAGAAACTAAACTACTAGTATAGTATGGACCTGAATAAAAATCACCTACCTCTCTTCTCATAAATAATCCTCCATCTTGAAAATTCTATACTGTAACCGAAAACCGCGATACTGTAACACGTTCCCTACGGTGATGAATGGAGAATGCAAATAATTGGAATTTTTCTTAGTCTAAGGGACATAACTCTGCCAAAAATTGCTCAATCATTTTTTTTTATGACAAATCTGTATAAAAAATAATTTTGTTATTTTCTTTTGTTTAATAGTGGGTCATTGTCCCCTTATTCTTCTGTTATGGAAAGATCTCTATTGTTTCATTTTGTCTGTGTTACAGTTAGAAAGCCCCCTATTTACTTTTGGACAGAGTCAGATAGGCAATGCCACTTTAATATCCCCCTTCAAATTTAACTAACATAGGATGATTATTAATTGACAATTAAAACATGTATATTATAATTATATAAAGATATACCTGTTCAATAAATGAGATAGTTATACCACCGGCTATTGAGACCACCAGTTTCTCCTTTGATACCGTCTGTGACACTTCCTGCAGTACCGGACTTACAACATTCGGTTTTACAGCTAACACAATCATCTGACTTTTCTCTACAACTTCTCTGTTTGAATTTGTCACATTGATACCTAAATTCTGTAAACATAAAAAATAAGTATGTATTCTTTGTGTCCTTTTCCAACAATATTAAAACCAGTCAAAACTTGTTACCCAGAACTCAGCAAATGTGTGTTTCCCAAGCTAAATCCCCGCTACAAACAATTTTTTACCATTATAGCTTTACCGATATAGCTTTATAATGCAGTTGCACTACCATTCACAATCGATCAGTCAACCTGATGCTTAGGTTCAGAATTGTAACTTAACAGTTTGTTTTGTACCCCCAGGTTAGCTGGGAAACCCCAAATATTCTCAATTCCAGAGAAAGTCTATTGAAACCTTGGTCACAGCCTCCAGGGCAATGCTGCCAGATCAATGATACCAACATAGCCCAAAATATTTTACAATTTGCAGTGCCAGGAAGTTAAGAAGGATTTTACTATATTGCCGGAGGAAGTTAGCAAGGAATTTACTAAATTGCCAGGGGAAGTAAGCAAGGATTAGTAAGGATACTAGTATTTGGAAAAGGGGAAGAAAAAACTTGATGTTAATTCAATTTTTGGGGAAAACTGCATGATTTTAAAGAATTTTTCTTTGGGGAAGCAGCCCTATAAGGGCCCCTGCTATAGAAGGAAAAAAAGCCCTGGGAAGTTAGCATGGAGTTTACTATATTGCCAGGGGAAGTTAGCAAGGATTTTACTATATTGCCAGGGGAAGTTAGCAAGGATTTTACTATATAGCCAGGGGAAGTTAGCAAGGATTTTACTATATTGCCAGGGGAAGTTAGCAAGGATTTTACTATATTGCCAGGGGAAGTTCGCAAGGATTTTACTATATTGCCAGGGGAAGTTAGCAAGGATTTTACTATATTGCCAGGGAAAGTTAGCAAGGAGTTTACTATATAGCCAGGGGAAGTTAGCAAGGATTTTACTATATAGCCAGGGGAAGTTAGCAAGGATTTTACTATATAGCCAGGGGAAGTTAGCAAGGATTTTACTATATTGCCAGGGAAAGTTAGCATGGAGTTTACTATATAGCCAGGGGAAGTTAGCAAGGATTTTACTATATAGCCAGGGGGAGTTAGCAAGGATTTTTACTATATAGCCAGGGGAAGTTAGCAAGGATTTTACTATATTGCCAAGGGAAGTTAGCAAGAATCCAAATATCAATGTTTCAACTACTTCCTGTGGCTGGAAGAACTGCAGAACTTCAGTCACAACAGAATGGTGAATTCAAACAGCAATATTTCTCTTCACCTTGTCTAAATAGCTCTATGTGAAATTCTGAAAATGTTATGTTTACGAATTTCAATATCAAAACTTTGTATAAAGCTTACATAAATTTTATTTTGAATCAAGTGCTAGACACATATCATGAAAAAACAGAACATACCTTTTTTTTATTTATAAGTTCATACGAAATGGTTCTAACTCATATGACATAAACAAGGAGTTACAACAGTTTCGCACAATTATCTTGATTTATTTACACAGATTTCAGTATGATGCAACTTTTAAAAAAATTTCACTATGAATAGTATCTCCGCTTAAAATTCTTCCAGACTGTTTTTAAGTATGGTTTTATTAATTTTAACATTAATTTACCTTTTGTACATAATTTAGCATCCTAGGGTCAGGGTCACTGGCAGTAATATTCCCTGCTTTTATTATACCTGCAATAGAATAAAATAACAAAATTTTTTGTTTGTTATAAGTTAATACCAGCTCCTACTGAAAGTACATGTAAGAAATTTCTTTTTTCTGACAAAAAATAAGTAAAAAAATTCTTTCCTTTCAACTAGCAATTCGCATTTTATATTTTGCATTTATTACATATTAAAAACAAAATAAAATAATTAACATCATAAATATTATATGTCTTTTGGTGGGAATATCAAAGAAAACCCTTAGTGTAAAACAATTAAGACAAATTAGTGGTTTTGTAAGAGAACAACACTTGTAAACATATATGATGCAATTTTACATCATCAAACCCAAGAGAATGGTGAGTCAGGAATAAATAGAAATTTGAAATTCACTTAAGGTATCAACCGAGTCTTTAACCCATTACTTCATATACACGCATTTTAACGCCTTTTTCACCCCCCCCCCCCCCTTTTTGTTGTCTCAAATGATGAAAAAATGCCTTATTTAGGCCCCAAACACTTGGTTTTGTTTGAGAAATGTTGTTAAAAAAAGTGACCTCTTTTTCGGCGCGGCCCCCCAACCAAAAGATACATCAGGGGGTTGCCAGAAGGGGGATGTGCCCCCTTCTGTTTGGGGGGTTTGAAGGGGGGCGGAGTCCCCCTCATCGCCAAGAAAATTTTGGGCTTGTGAGAGGCTGTAAATGACCCCAGATTGATCATAAGGTAACGTGTAAGCAACGCTGAAAAGCATTTGACTCTATCTCAATCCATTGAGAAGTTGCAGCACTTTGAAATCAATTTTGATGGAAAAAATCAACGCAAAATAGTGATTTTTGGCAATTTTGAGATGTCCCCTCGTTGCCATGGTAACAGAAAATTTAAGCCTGAGCATGTTGTTGCAAGGGCAATGGTCCAGTCAACATTTGTGCCAAGTTTGATTAGTGTTGAAGCAGTTTTTATAGTATTATAGCAATTTGAACTTGTAACGGGAGACTTTTCAATGAAAACAGCCATTTTTCACAAAATGCTCATGAAGCAATGGGTTAATGAAAAAAATAAAAAAATCTACAAAACAACAATTTTTCATCAAATTTATATGACAGGCCATGTTTAAACATGAAAAAACGCGATTTAGGGTAATTTCAAGTATTTTCATCATTTTCTGTTAACCCATTACTTCATATACACGCCTTTTAACGCCTTTTTCACCCCCCCCCCCCTTTTTGTTGTCTCAAATGATGAAAAAATGCCTTATTTAGGCCCCAAACACTTGGTTTTTGTTTGAGAAATGTTGTTAAAAAAAGTGACCTCTTTTTCGGCGCGGCCCCCCAACCAAAAGATACATCAGGGGGTTGCCAGAAGGGGGATGTGCCCCCTTCTGTTTGGGGGGTTTGAAGGGGGGCGGAGTCCCCCTCATCGCCAAGAAAATTTTGGACTTGTGAGAGGCTGTAAATGACCCCAGATTGATCATAAGGTAACGTGTAAGCAACGCTGAAAAGCATTTGACTCTATCTCAATCCATTGAGAAGTTGCAGCACTTTGAAATCAATTTTGATGGAAAAAATCAACGCAAAATAGTGATTTTTGGCAATTTTGAGATGTCCCCTCGTTGCCATGGTAACAGAAAATTTAAGCCTGAGCATGTTGTTGCAAGGGCAATGGTCCAGTCAACATTTGTGCCAAGTTTGATTAGTGTTGAACCAGTTTTTATAGTATTATAGCAATTTGAACTTGTAACGGGAGACTTTTCAATGAAAACAGCCATTTTTCACAAAATGCTCATGAAGCAATGGGTTAATGAAAAAAATAAAAAAATCTACAAAACAACAATTTTTCATCAAATTTATATGACAGGCCATGTTTAAACATGAAAAAACGCGATTTAGGGTAATTTCAAGTATTTTCATCATTTTCTGTTAACCCATTACTTCATATACACGCATTTTAACGCCTTTTTCACCCCCCCCCCTTTTTGTTGTCTCAAATGATGAAAAAATGCCTTATTTAGGCCCCAAACACTTGGTTTTGTTTGAGAAATGTTGTTTAAAAAAAGTGACCTCTTTTTCGGCGCGGCCCCCCAACCAAAAGATACATCAGGGGGTTGCCAGAAGGGGGATGTGCCCCCTTCTGTTTGGGGGGTTTGAGGGGGGCGGAGTCCCCCTCATCGCCAAGAAAATTTTGGGCTTGTGAGAGGCTGTAAATGACCCCAGATTGATCATAAGGTAACGTGTAAGCAACGCTGAAAAGCATTTGACTCTATCTCAATCCATTGAGAAGTTGCAGCACTTTGAAATCAATTTTGATGGAAAAAATCAACGCAAAATAGTGATTTTTGGCAATTTTGAGATGTCCCCTCGTTGCCATGGTAACAGAAAATTTAAGCCTGAGCATGTTGTTGCAAGGGCAATGGTCCAGTCAACATTTGTGCCAAGTTTGATTAGTGTTGAAGCAGTTTTTATAGTATTATAGCAATTTGAACTTGTAACGGGAGACTTTTCAATGAAAACAGCCATTTTTCACAAAATGCTCATGAAGCAATGGGTTAATGAAAAAAATAAAAAAATCTACAAAACAACAATTTTTCATCAAATTTATATGACAGGCCATGTTTAAACATGAAAAAACGCGATTTAGGGTAATTTCAAGTATTTTCATCATTTTCTGTTAACCCATTACTTCATATACACGCCTTTTAACGGCCTTTTTCACCCCCCCCCCCTTTTTGTTGTCTCAAATGATGAAAAAATGCCTTATTTAGGCCCCAAACACTTGTTTTTGTTTGAGAAATGTTGTTAAAAAAAGTGACCTCTTTTTCGGCGCGGCCCCCAACCAAAAGATACATCAGGGGGTTGCCAGAAGGGGGATGTGCCCCCTTCTGTTTGGGGGGTTTGAAGGGGGGCGGAGTCCCCCTCATCGCCAAGAAAATTTTGGGCTTGTGAGAGGCTGTAAATGACCCCAGATTGATCATAAGGTAACGTGTAAGCAACGCTGAAAAGCATTTGACTCTATCTCAATCCATTGAGAAGTTGCAGCACTTTGAAATCAATTTTGATGGAAAAAATCAACGCAAAATAGTGATTTTTGGCAATTTTGAGATGTCCCCTCGTTGCCATGGTAACAGAAAATTTAAGCCTGAGCATGTTGTTGCAAGGGCAATGGTCCAGTCAACATTTGTGCCAAGTTTGATTAGTGTTGAACCAGTTTTTATAGTATTATAGCAATTTGAACTTGTAACGGGAGACTTTTCAATGAAAACAGCCATTTTTCACAAAATGCTCATGAAGCAATGGGTTAAAATAGGTTTAAAATAGAAAGCATTGAATAACCAACAGGATTCACTTCATGAAAGTAATGTATTGTATTTCTCTATTAAAACTCTCCCAAAAGCTAATGCCAATTCCTTTTTTTGTTTCTACAAAAAGAATACTGTAAAATCACCTTTCTTGTTTTTTCCTTTCTTCTTTTTTCTTTGTTTTTATTCATTTTTTTCTATGGCAAATTCTAACCCTTATTTTGCTGAATTTATATTATATATATATGTCCTGCTTTGAATATGTAACTGTTCATTCAGTTTTAAGATATTTTTTTTCATAGCTACCAACAATATAGAGCTCAGTGTGGAGTCTGACCTTGCTCTATATTGGTAGCAATTTATAGGCAAAGGTGAATCACTTTTGCTGGAAGCTAAAGTGATTAGCCATCACCACTTATATAGAGCAGAGGCATGCCAGCCTGCAACATTGGTTATCTGTCTCGGACCAGGCTCAGTATAATAAGTATTAAGCCAAGTTTAAATTTTCATACAATAAATAATTGTTAATAAGAAATAATAGTTTAAAGTATTTAGTATTAAATAAACCACATGAGAATCACATATGTATGGATGTTGTTGGCAAGTGTGAGATACATGATCAGATATTACATCATATACTAATATAACAGATAATAAAATGTTCCAGAACAAAATATTATTTTTCACCATATTAATGTTCATACTAAATCACTTTGAATTTTACCAGCATATTTTCCAAGCAATATATTTTATAAGAATGCCCAAATGATGCATTTCTGTTGTTTTTGAAAAAATGTGTCCATTGCAGACCAATCCACTTTAATATTCCCAAAATTGATAATGAACACTTCCATAGATGGAAATTTGACAAGTCATTTAAGTCTTAGTCAGCAGATTTATACCTAAACAACTGATAAGAAGTTTGTTCATTAAAAACATCAAATCTTAGGTAACAATTGACCTTTTATACTGTGTAACATAAAAGTCAATGACCTGATTTTTATGATTTTATCTTTACTGTATTACATAAACAAGAGCTGTCAGTAGGACAGTGTGCTTGACTATTCTCAGTGCTTGATAGTAAAACAAGAGCCTGAACAATGTAGAATTTTCTAAGTTAAAAAGAGCCATAATTCTGTCAAAATCTGTGTTATAATTATGGACCTTGGAAAGTTATGAAGTTTCAACCCATTCCCTTCAGCAAAATTAGAGATACCTGAAATAGCATGCAAAAATTAACCAGTGTGAGACAGATTTCAGTACAATATCTCTCACTATTCTTCAAATAGTCAAGGTAAAAAAAAATAATTGGACCAATCTCTTTTACACCATTAAAATCATAGTTAATGACCATTGACAAGATATTAAAGTCACCCACGTAAAGCATTTTTGACCAAATATTCAGGGCATTAATATTTCAGGTTAATCAGACATTTAAGCCATCCTCAGAAAATATATTAATGTCTGATGGTTTTACAGCTCATATAAGTATACAAGTAGGAAATTATTCTACAGTTAGTAAAAAACAGTTTTCTTCTACCCTTCTTAATATCCCCAAAATTTATAATGATAGTTCAAAAAAATGGAAGCTGGACAAGTCCATATAAGGAATTCAGGAGGCTTTAAATGATTAAATAAAACATAGTATCACTATCACAAGCAATTTTGTTTTGCCGAGATATGTAATTAATACCTTGCTATATGTTTGTAAAAAACAAGATTACACCAACATTGCACTTGCCACCTACTGTAAAGTAACCAATATTGATAAGATAATATGTATGTTATGTAACGTCACAAATATGTTACCTGATAACAGGGTGGCTTTAAAGCCATTTTTAGTTTTAACTGCAGAACACATACTGCTTAATTATTTTTTCAAGGGCCTTTATTGAAATTATTCACAAGAATGTTTTTAACTGGAATCTGCAGATTTATTGTTCAGCTGTTTTTTTTCCAGTGTTTTGTGAGTGGGTCATTTAAATTGTGAAAATTAGCACCATAATGCCAATCTATGTGAATATAGACCAATATTATCACTACTGAAAAAAGGGAAATTTTAAATCATGTGTTGGAATGTGCCTTGATTAATGATAAAATATTGAATAACATATTAATTATACAGGCATAAAGCATGCACATAAGTATTTTTCTTCCAAAAGAAATCAAATGTTGAAAATGGTGCTTTAATTAATGTGTTATGATTAGTAATAGATTAAACCACTGTCTTGTTTTAATTATTAGATTTAACTGTTTTGATTGGAGAAATTAAAGTAACAACCATAATTGGAAGATTTTGCAATAAGAAGTTTTAATCATCAATAGCCTGAAAGTTTTTCCAAAGTTTCCATTTAATACCTTTGAATGGAAAATTTTCAGCATTATAATTATATTCTGACAACAGAAACAAAAACAGATAACACTGGATAATACTGTCAAGAAAATCTGTAGTATTTGCAGTCCTGCTTATCATGGAAATGTACAGAGTTAATTTATATATTCATATTAGTTCTATTATTTCTCTGACATGATCTTTAATTATCTATTAATTTAATGCATGTACAGTACAGATGATAAACTATGTTTAAATCTAAAATCCAATAAACTATGTTCTGCTTATACGTTTGCATGAATAAGAAAAAGAATGATGAGACAGAAATATTTTGTAGATTCTACGCCTGTTATCAATTTATAATTGACAATTAATAAATAGTTAATTAAATTGATAACATTAATTACTTGTTTAAATTTCGTTCTGTAAATTATTAAGCTACTTTGTAATTGATGGAGAGAAAAACATTGGCAAAGAAACAAATTTTATCAAATTTCTGAATAAATAAATTAGTAATTAGAATCTATTGCAGCTGATAAAAGTTGTTATTCACGTGCAATATATTTATAAACAAATCAATTACTGATCAAGTTACCTCCCTTGATTAAAGACAATACATTTCAACTCACCTGAAGTTATAAATCCTCGCGCCATGGCTTGTGCCATGCGGCCAGCACCTATAAATCCAACGGCCATATCTGGTGGCACTCGGGATCTTTGTGAGGAAGCCATGAGAATTTTTTTATCGTTGGATATTTAGATTTCTTGTTCGCGAGTCAGATTTTAGCCGGTGAATTTCCGCTTTTTAAAATGGTCCCCGTTTCCAAAGTAATTATGCCAGTGTGTGTGTACAATAAGCGGGAAACCAGTATGGATAGTGGGCTGTAACCTACAGAGACGTCACCGCCCATTTGTATCATGCTAACATGGCATGCACCTGATGATGCAACTTAACATCATTGGGTCTGTCAAAATAATTAATTATTAAAACATTTTTCTGTAGAGCCGTTACAAAGCCTACACAGAAATTTAGTCTAGGAACATCATATCAATCCCATTAACGATAACACGAAATTTTTATATAGGGCCTTAAATTATAATTGCATTGGTACTTTGATGTACATTACATAGGGATATGTCATGATCGATTAGTGCTGACAAAATAGAAAACGTGAGAAACTTAAATAATAAATCTTTGATTATCTATAGATGAAGCTTTTAATTTGCAATAACACGGTAAAACATATATAGATACAGGAGACTTTCTAAATGCAACAGTAATGTATATTGTACATATAACATATTTCGCTTTGAGCATCAAAGAGATTCTTCAATAGTGTCAGACTTTTTTGCAGGCAGTTTAAAATATTTTTGATTGAAGAGTGTAGTTTGTTCCACAGGAGATAGCCATAATATAATTATGCAAATTATTTTTTCACCACAACCTTTGACTAGGTAAAATAAAGCACCCACTTTGGTACAGTATGAATGGGCAGAGTTTATGGGAACGAAGTTTTCTTAAACCTATATATTGCATTGAAATGGAATAATAAATTGTCAACATCTATCGCAATAAAAATGTCACATTTTATAGATCTAAATTTTCCCGTACCACAAGCTATAAATAAATTCTGCATTGAAATAGACGTACATGTTAATTAATTCTTAAACCTTGTGATTTAGCAAATTAGCAGCATCTAAAAAAGAGAAGATATATAAGTGTTTTTCATAATAGAAACATATATTAGGATTCTCGTGATATTGAGCAGGTCTAGTGTGTATCTGCATGCTAAGAAAAACGTCATATAGCTCAGTTGATAAGTGTCCAATATTTAATTAAGTGTACATCTAACAGCTCTGTTCACGTAACACTTGTCAGTACAGTAATGAATATATCTTATACCAAATTCAACATTGACTCCTTCAACGGTATAAAAACCATAATACCTTTAATACTTGTTTACATTTTCCAAACAAGAACGTGTACTTTATGTTCCTTTATGAAGGAATGTAAAACTGACAGAAAAATGCTCACTTTAAAATCATTTTCATTTCAATGCAAGATTTAAGTAACTACGCCTGTCATAGTTATTAAGCTAGTTGTAACCTCGCACAACCCAACCTTTGGAACATGTCAGAATATGAGAGAGCTACATGCTTTACCTCCCGCCAACTCTAAGCTGCTGGTGCGATGGTTTTATTTTGGCGCCAAAAAAGTGAGGGATTCATCGCATCAAGTTCAACAAATAAACGGGTTTCAAGTAGTACATATGTGGGTTAAACATCCGTATGTTGAAGAAGTTTCCAAATTGAAGTTATTTCTGCAAAAGATCAACTAAAAAGTATCTTTGAAAAACAAGTTGAAATGCTATTCCATTCTTCTGCATTTCTTCTGTAGTTGCCCATTCATGGCTGGCTATTTCTTGTTATTGCAAGTCCGGTTGTCACGCATCAACTCTTACACTACGCTCCCTTCGCAGCTCACTGAATACACTCACGTTACTTCAGACGTGAGCGATACTGGAACATTCGACCGATGCGCAGGAGAGTACTCTTACACCCAAAGAAATACTTTTCGTGGGTGGCCATGATTAATTTCTTTCTTGGTTGAGATCATCTGACATACACAGTAAGGGTGTTATATCTAGGACAGGGTCGAATTTATGGCATCCGACGCTATAGTAATCATAGCGTAAGTCTGATAAACAAGACATAGGTTACATTACATGAGGAGACAAGTCCTTTCAGCTTCAACCGATAAAAAGTGAAGTTAAGTTTCATTTCTCTGTGATGCGAAAAATCGAAAGTATTTTAAAGTTGTCTATTCTTTAACTTCTTTTTGTCTATATATAGGAAATTTATAAACATTTAGCTTCTTGAATACAATTTTAAACTAGGACCAGCTGAAGTATGATCTAGTCAGTTCAGAGTTGTAATCCCCTTCCCCTATACCCAGAGTATGATCTTGAAAAGTAGAATAAACTAAGCATCAAATTGTCAAAGACAATGAAGTTTTGAAACTAGTCTACAAGAACTTGAAATGTTTGTGCAAGTCCTTTTCCCTGTTAGTACAAATACACATCTGCCTTTTTTTTAATCTGCCAGTCCATAGTTAATACTTTGTTGTTCCCAACAGTTCAAAATTTTGTTGCAGTACATTTGTCTTACAGTCATTATTTTTGTGACTATGGTAAAGAATAATGTAAACAGTAACTATTTGGCTACAAAATTAATAATGGCAGAAACTCTTCATGCCATTTTAAGTCATCTAGTCAAACTTATTTTCCTAAGGTAAGCTAATTCATTTTAAATGTACAAAGTATAATCATGCATAAAAAACAACAAAAGCTTGATGACAAATTTACATGACTTTATTATTTATTTTTTCATAAAGAAACTTGATTTTATTTAATAGAATAATGATAAATGATCTATAATACACAATGATACATGACAAAAGAGATGAAAAATTGAACACAGAGGTTAAGCTCCCAATATAAGGAACTTAGAAAAAAAATATTCCAATTCTACACTATGGTTACCATTAATTCTATATTAAATTGCTGAATCGACCCAAATTTGAATATAGAACAGTACATATTGACCATTTGAATTTTAAGAGACTTAAAACAAAATACTAGAGTAAAATGGGTGTGCAAGCTTGTTGACTCTACTGGTGGCAAAGGCTAATCACTTTCAGTCCAAGCTGGTGAAGGGGTTAACATTATATGGCACGAACCAATTTTGTTCAGTAAGGCATATGTAGCACTCAGATTTTGAAACAAAAATTATGTGATAATAATCTGTATGTTCATCTCAGCCCTTACTTAATATAATAACTTCTTAAATACTAATCTGTATTGTAACACTTTACTCTGTAAAAGGAAACAACACAAAAATCATCCAAAAATAAAATAACAAAGTATATTTAATTTGAACAAGGTCCTACATGGTTTATTTTGCAAGAGGAAAAACAAATTTAAAAATCTGCCACATTATGCTTGAAAATTAATATTGATAAAACACAACATGCCAATTCAGCTTTTGAGAAAGGTAGTTCAAACAATCTCAAAACATTATTGTATCCCATGTTATCAAGACATCAAAACATGTATAAATAAGACAATATTTCCTTTGTAACTGATTATTTAGCTAATGCTGCAAGTAGGGCTTCATCTTGCATAGAGACCAATTTTACTGTATTCAGGAACATGCTGCCAAATCACTTTAATGTTGAATACTAATACAAATATTTTCATTAACATTTAAATTTCTATTTTAATATAAATAAGCATATATTAAAACAGAAATAAATAAAATCTTGTTAATTCAATATTGTACATATACATGTATTGTGTACTTCATTACATTAATAGATTTAATTGTTCAAATACTAGAATAATAGTTTCTAGTTCATCTGACTATCTGATGGTAATTATCAATAATGTAAATTCATATTTGTCAACACATGTATTCAGGAGAGACAAAAAAAATCCAGACAAATATTAAATAACATGAACAACAATATTTTGTTAATACAAATTGGTTGGCTTGTACACTCTTATTTCAGACATAAAGCTCTGATTGACCGACATTTATACAACTTAAAATGGGTAAAATTCTCTCAGAATAAAAACATGTTTATCCCGCAATTTTCCCGCAATTATATGGATCAGGTTCAGTTTGTTGTACATTTTCACAACAATTCTAGTATAATACAATGACAAAACATATTAATTGTATAGTAGATCAGTGTAAAAGAAGTAATTTCTTAAGCATAAAATTGAGTAAAGCATTATTTAGAGGTTGAATTTAACAACATTGTGTCAATCTCTGAATATGAAACTTCTCTTAACTTTCCCAGAGTGCAGTAGACAGTGGAAGGAGAAATTAGTCAAATTCTGTTTTATGTTTCAAATTCATAAATAATATATTGTTAAATACTGAAACTAATTTGAACATACAATTATCAAAAAGTAACACTTAATTTACTCAAATGTATTTACTCAAATGTTTGTACAAATGAAGCTTAAGAAAAGTCCAAGTTGAAAACAAGAATCAAACATCAGATGACCATTAGCATACCACAAATGCTTCCTATACAATTTCAGCTTTTACTGTAAAAATATACATAAATATCGCCTGATTTCTTGATTCAAAAATGTTTATATTTTGGGGGACAAAATGCTAAATCACAAGCATTTGGTGTCAAAACATATACATTTGTACAGGTCAAGGTTGTTTTGTTTAAAAGTCGTGTAATTTAAGACCTACATGTACATTCATTTCTTATCCACATGTCTTAAAATAAAATGTGAAATATTTACATTTAAAATTCCTTTCTTATACACGTATTTTATTATACAAAAAAAAATAATCACAGTCACATCAAGGTGTTCTCTAAAAGAAAAATAACTATTAAAATCTTGGTATAAAAGGCAAAATTCTGATAAAAAAAAACATTTTTTGTATATACTGCTATTTGTGAAAGTAACTGAATTATATCATTTCAACACTGACAGTTTGTCACCTTTGTTCACCTTAGTGCAGTAATGGGTTAACCCCTAATAAAAATTCATAGGAGTTAACCCGTTACTGCACTAAGGTGACAAGTTTTCTTGTACGAAGACAACAAAATCAATATTTATATATCAAATGTCTATCACAGAGTCTCAAATAAATGTACATAAAAAGTATGAAACTCCAACAATCAACCTTATTTCAGTTTCTCAATTATATTCCCAGTATCTATTTGACTGTAGACTATGGAAAAATACTTCTGTTACAAACTAATCAATATGTGAATAGAAAACTGTAGAGAATTTGACAACAAAATCTAATAAAGTTTTATGTAAATTATTCTTCACTCAATAAATCATATTTTTTCATTACTTAGACATTTAATTACAACAAAAATGGTTTCACTACATCTGCATAAATATATAGAAAGTAAAACATACACATATACACACACTGCTGCTGCCTTTTTCAGGTTTTTTAAGAGATCTCGAAGGTGCAGAACAAGTAAAATCTTATTTCATTAAACTCTTAACCATTTGTACTGGAATTGTCCAACTTTCTACACACAATGAAATTCTAGAATTTATACATACAAAAATGCTCTCACCAATTCAAATATTGAACAAGAACTGTCAAATGTCATTTTATGGTCACATTTGGATTACTATCAATGAAAAGTTTTGTATCCTTATATTTTTCTTTTATCTCTAAATAATGTTGTGAACGTTTAATTTTGTAAAAGTAATGCACTGAACAAGTCTTTTGAGTCTGCCTCTCTTTTATACTTTAGATTTGTTCCAGGCTAATTGAACAGTTTACTTTTACTCCTTCAAACCTCAGTTTTAAAACCAACAAACACAAACACATGGTTTATCTATGAATCCTCATTCTCAACAAGCTATTCCGAACTTTGGTCCTTTCCCAATTAAAATATCCCCAAAAGGTTCCGTTTGACTAACTTCTACCACTTTATGCTTTTTCAACACTAAGAGCGTGTAGAACTTAGAGGTAACTTGTTTACGGTTTAATTTACGTGCCATGTCTTTAAAACTAAGTTCATCAGTATATCTGAATCCCTGATCTAATGTGTGCTGCATCTGTTCAGTACGTTTTGTCCATCTCTGCTCTTCCTGCTCTTCATCCTCGGGCATTTGATCACCACCTTCAATATCCCCACCAAATGACTGGAAAAATACAGGAAAAATTAATATCACTAGTAACAATTACTGAATTGTATATTCATTTTTTCCCCATCAATATTTAGCTTAAAACTTTGATACAAGGGCATTTTAGTCACCAATAAAACTGCTCAATACATAAAAGATTGATTCAATGTTTCGAGCTTTGACTACAGTACCTGCTTAAACCTGAGATTTGGCAAACTTTTTGACATCAGGTGTCCCTTAACAGTACTGATATTTAATAGACTAGCTGAATAGCCTCTTTTTACAATAACTTAACATCCATAAAATATTCAAACCCCAAGAACTGATAAATTTTGAATTATGACATAATATTACAATAACTATTCACTTAGTAATACAGCAGAGAACACATATCAAACATGCAGTTGGTTTGTAAACTAAATTACTAAAGTACCTAACAGTTTCCGTCTACTTAGACCTTCATCAGGAACAGTTTTTATTAATGTATGAAATATTTTCATTAGTTAATATCCATGGGGAAATTATAAAATAAATAAAATCATTATATATGAGAGAAAACAACTTACAATAGGCCCAACTGAAGGAGGTCCAACTGAGGCTGGCCCCACAGAGAACGGCGCTATAGATGGTGGACCATCATCCTCATAATGTGGATGAATCAAACTTGGGACCTCTGGTAAATCAATGTGTGGTTCGAGGACTGACTGTCCAAATATGTCTGATACATTTGGATGCTGCTCATGAGCTGAAGAGCTGTGACGAGGAGTTTTTGGTGTGGGGGCTTCTGGAATAGGATCATCACTGCGACGCGACCGTTTAGATGTTTCAAGAATTGAGGATTCTTCCATGATGGTGCTAATTTCTGGCCGTATTGTTGACATACCAATTTTAGATTTTTCTGAAAATTGAAAAAATCAAATTATTAATTGCATGAGAAAATTTTTATTTGTGAAGTAACACAATGTGAACTCTTTCTGGATCTCTTTTTGACATACTCATAAAAAAGATTAACTACTGTTTTATTTTTTAATTCATCTAGTGCTTTTGTTAGCCTGAGCCTGCAATTGCTTGTAGTATTTCATGTGTCGACTTTATGTGCCAAAATATCAGACGCTTTAATTTCATCTCTGGCTAATTAAAAATCTTAAAAGACAACTTCAAACTTTACAAAAAGAATTTACTTGAAAGGAGAGCTTTGTTTAAAGTGTATAAATCTATATATTTGGTGTCTGTGAATTGTAAAATTATTGTTAAAGTGACATTATGCCCATTCAAGTGTATACAGTAAGTGAACAGGTCAAAGTCAAAATAAGTTTTTATATTGCCATAATTCCTTTTAATTTAATAATTTACTTCATATGAACAATAAATAACCCCAAGATCAAAACGTAATTTCTGTAAATATCAATCAGAAATTACCTGAAATGTTTATTTTATAAAAAGAGTGGGGCAGTCTTTTTATATTTTAGGCAGATTTTAAATTTTATCCTAAACATTTTCCAAAATAAACTTTTTGTCAAACACCATCTTATGAAATAAAAAGTCAATTCAGCCCAACTTGACTATGAAAATATGAGCATAGTGTCACTTTAATATTGTGATTAAAATGACCACATAATACAAGGAATAAAAGACACTTGTCTATTTTCTTACACTCACACTGAGTAGGGTACAAATGAAATCATTGCCAAACCTACTTAAATTTAACATTTTATTGTTTACTTAAAAATACTCATGTATATTAAATAACACAGAAATTCCTATGTAACAAAGCTTTCAAGAAATGACCATAAGGTAATGAAAACAACATCATTTTACTTTTTTTTTAACTTTTATGAAATATTTCATGATTTATAGCTTTTTACACTAATAAATGGCCTAAAACTGGTAACTTGTGTATTTTGGTTTTTCATACCTGCAAGAGATCTATCTTCTTCGCGAGATATTTCTGGGGCTTCTAAGTCCAATCTTTCCTCATTCTCGTCGAAATCTTCGCTTGGCCGTGTCTTCATGTTTCGTTTAAACATCTGCAGAGAAAAGATGTATAAAATCATTACAGTTTGTTTTAACAGTCTAAAAATTACTAGAAATGCTTTGAACAATGTTTTATCTCATTCATTCATGTCCATACACACACATAACACTTTATTGTGAATTGTCTAAAAAAAAAATGTTAATATTAGAGCCATAGTTAAAAACTGCTAATGTTGTAATCATGAAATGAAAATGAACTTCAATCATGTGAAATTTTTGGATAAATACTCTTCCCTTTGAAACCAATTAAGATTTGGACTTCAAATCAAAAGTGTAAAAGTATACAACAACAAATGGCAGCCGAAAATAAAAATAATACTTCAGAAAAAAATTGTAAGGAAGCTATGTGCTTTAACAATACCATGCCTGAAGCAAAATCAGGAACAAAAACACAAGGAGTGAGCAATTTGAAAAATCTAAATACTACATTTTCTCACTATTATATCGAGCCTTTTGTTTAAGCAGACACAGTATTATAACAGCAAATAAAGGTAAACACTTATTTTACAAATATGACGAAAAATATGGAAACTAACTTTTTTTTTATCTGATACTCTTAAAATTCCCAATTTTGACTTCTTATAAAATCTTTTCTAAATTCTAAGGGTTTTTTGGCATTCCGAAAATGTGTATAAAAGGCCTGTAAGTAACTAAAGATAAACCCTTAAACAACTCTATCTTTTATTCCAGGTCTGAATTTATCAGCATTTCACAAAACTACTCAAGACTTTAACATGATTACTCCACTTTTAACCATAAAAGAAAAATTGCGAGATAGAGACAAAAACATACTCCAGCGGTTTGTTCAAATATTTCAAATAGAGGTGGGGGAAAACATTTTTGTCATTCCACATTTTTTTCTTCTTTTAACAAAAATAAGCACTAATGTAGCCATTCAAACTGAATGAGTCTTTACTTTGTAAAATAAAAGATCATTCAAAAATCACAACAACATCAACACGATCACTACAGTAATAACATTACCGCCACCTCAGTCTGAAAATATTCACAACCTTCACTTTAGTTATACCATGGCCATGCAAAAACATCACTGTATATTAAAACTTAACCCTGTACGCTTGACCCCCCTCCTTAAGTATCTTACCCGTTTTCTTTTAATACTTTGCCTCTAAAAGTGTACTTAACCATAATACTATGACTCCCAGTTTATGTCTTCTTTAAGGTTTTTATAACTAAAATTATCTTTAATTTCAGTTTACTTTTTCGATAGCTAATTTAATGTTAGGAGAACATTTTCCGTAGCTATCACATAGCATAATTCTTTGACAAAAAAAAATATTGTGTAGTTTTCAAGAAAAACATTTTATATTTAAAACTATCAATATAAAAAAACATGCATCTATTAATGAATTAATGTCAATTCTGAAACCTTTTAAAAATTACAAAACAATCTTTTGTTGGCAACATTGTGAAGTATCTTGAACCTTTTTATAGATCTGCATTCCTGAATTCAAACACTCAATACATTTTGAAATCACAATAACAAGATCCATCACTCAGTGTTCAAACATGGACGACATGACCAAAAATAAAACCAGCACATTTTACAACACATAAGCAGCCATCTTTCACAAACCTTGAGGATATTTCTTGACCTAATTGCACATCCAGGAAGAGCAAATAATTTCTCGAATCCACCTGTCTCCTTCCATTGCATAAGTTTTTTTGTTGGTGGTGCAAGATCCAAGGTGGTTACAATATCAGATGTATCGGAGAGCTGCATCTTCATGGTCTCACTTGGGATACCCTGTTGTTCATCAACAATCAGCTTACGTTTCCTCTTTTTCCTTTCAACACCTGTTATATATACACGCAATATACCAATTATTTATAGTGTATGTTTCAGCAGTCTAAGCAAATAATGACTTGCAGTTTAGGTGCAAGTCAAGATTGTTCTGTATACAGAACCTTTAACCTATTTTCAGAATTATATTACATTTATGTGACACTATATATGTCAATAAAGGTTGTCTGCTGCAAAGAACGACCATTGAATGGTTATCAAACAAGTGGTCTTTATCTTTTTAATACCCGGACTGGACAATTAGAATGCCATTCTGCCACTTTACTTGCTAAACTAACAGTCTCAAGACTCTCCTACTTATTTCCTATTCAATAAGAGAACACCTCTAAACCGTAACATACCACTCCACTTCTATGAAAATCATTCTAGAATTCCTAAGAATTCCTGAAGTGTAATGAGGGCAATGTAAAATAATCCCCACACTACATGCCATCATGTCCCCATGTAGTGCGTCAAATATCACAGGGCAAGAAGACATGCAATCTGACTGAAAATTCAAACTCCTGACCTTAGAATTCTTTTATCATTCTAAAGCTATATCTAAGATTTTGCAGTCTGCTTTCCAAATTTGGAACTTTATGGAAGTACAGTAATAAAACTGTTACACAGTTGGCACTGTAAACTTAGAAGTATCTTTCTTACCTGGCATATGGGTAGTGTCTAGTGGTTCTAAAGCAAAGGCTTCATTCTCGTTAGTAATAAGCGTAGTTTGTTCGCCTGATGTGCCAGGAACTGGTGTGGCTGTCATCATAGAATCTAGTGGAGCAACTGGTTGTTGTTGCTCTATAAAAAATATAATATGTATATCTAAACATTGTTCTGTAAAAACATATATAATACATTTAATCATTGCTTTTGTGTCTTATATTTGATAAAAAGAATTCCAATGAATATTAGTTATGTGAACAAAAAATATTAAGTAATTCAACCCTGTAAAAATTCTGTAAACTATGACTGCCACACGTAACACAAGGATACCCTCTCACACCATTTTGTCAGTAATGTTTTAATTTAGACATAGTTTATTTACATTTTAGTTTAACCCATAATACATGTCAAAGATACATCATGATATAATTTTGAGTCATTTTTTTTTTCATTTTTGTACAAGGAAAATGCACAAGTTGTTCTGAGCGCAATAAGCAGTAAAATGAAGAAGAAACAGCCTACAATACCCAACAAAAGACATGTTTTAGTCCAGTAATCCAGTATGCTCCTTTCAAACTTTTGCAGGGATATGAAAAGTAACTATATAAATGTTACAGAAACTATAGAAAGGTTTATTTACCAGGTAAATCTTTTTGCTGTGGTAATGGGGTAGTCACTGGAAGCTCTGGGACTGCTGGTGTGTCTTCAAACAGATTCCCTCCTGCTATCAAATCTTCACCTACAAAACAAATAGTAAGTAACTTAGATTAAACTTGTTTCAGAACGTTTTTCTACAACACCATTATGAAAACACTAACTGTAGAATGGTTTCTAAGAAACATTAACAAGAGGGCCATGATGGCCCTGGGCCATGATGGCCCTGAGGTCGCTCACCTGTATATAGGCCCCCGGAGCGGGCCAGTTTAAACCCCAGGACTTTTATTTCAACAAACTTGGAAGACACCCATTAGAAGATGTTTCACGATGTTAAGTTTTACTACACACATAGAATGAAAAACAACGATCTACACTCCCCCCCCCCCCCCCCCCGGCAGGGCCAATTTTAATCCAAGGGCTTTTATTTGAACAAACTTGGTAGACACCAATAAGAGGATGTTTCATGCTAAACATCTAAGCTCTAGCTCATTGGGTTTTTTAAAAGAAGATTTTTTAAGTTTTTACTATACACTTATAGTTAAAATCAATGACACCCCTAGGCGGGCCAGTTTTGACCCCAGGGCTTTTATTTTAACAAACTTTGTAGACACTTACTAGAAGATGTTTCATGCTTAATATCTAAACTCTAGCTATTTGGGTTTTTTCAAAGAAGATTTTTAAGTTTTTGCTATACACATATAAGGAAAATCAATGACCCCCGGGGCGGGGCCAATTTTGACCCAAGGGCTTTTATTTGAACAAACTTGGTAGACACCCATTAGAACATGTTTCATGCTAAATATCTTAGCTCTAGCTCTTTCAGTTCTTTAAAAGTAGATTTTTTAAGTTTTTACTATATGCCTATAGGGAAAATCAATGACCAGGGTTCTCACTAGGACTTTAAAACATGGAGTCCATGGACTCCCAACCCTGAAAAAGTTGGAGTCCAAAAGCGTGTCGCAATTAATATGTTTACAGATTAGTCATTCAATGCTCACAATAGCATTGCTGATATTTTGAATCTTCATTATAGTTATTCAAAAGAAACTCTGAACTACATAGTATAATTATTGTTTTGTTGTTAGTATTTATTATGAAATTATTTCATTATAATGCATCAACACATGGAAATCGTTTTGTTTTTTTCAATTTTGTACCAAATCAAATTTTATTCTGGTTAAATAAGTCCACTCTAAAGACAACAAGTTTATATTTGTAAAAAAAAACGTAAATGTATATAGGCAGCGTTTAGCGGAATGAATAGGAAAATCGTGTACAGCTTCACACAGTGTGTAAGAGATTCATCCGATGGACAATTATTTTAGCAAAAATCTTCAAAAGGGGGCAAATTGAAGATCGATATTTAAAGATTTAATGTTGATTAAATAATAAAGGAACAATTCATTCGCATGTTTGGCTTGGAAACCAGGAATTTTTGCGAAATTTTAGGGGGTTTCTGGCGAACGTGAAATCGCCGATGTTCCGGATCAATTTTCGGTCAAAGAAAAGCGTATGTGTATTTTGGTTTGTTGTCCTGGCATTTCGGCACAATATCTTAAATTCTTAATACTCTTATAGAAAGTTTTTGCAAGAATGAAACTAAAGCAAAATTGTGCTTACAGTAGAAAATGCCGAAAATATTCGACAATCATTCAAAATTACACTCATTTGTAATTTGAGAAAACAGTCTTTAAATTTGCGGCGTAAATGGTCGATAATTTTATCCTTTTGTCGGTAAAATTTGCTAATTTCCAATCAACTGTTGATCAAAGATATAAAATTATCACCTCACGTGTTATATCTGGTAATTGCATGTACTGTACAGCGCGTGTATCACTATTGCGTGATAATGATCGGAAGCGTTATCGCTGATTGGCTAATCGCTTCACGGGTCGATGTGCATAGGACCGCCTACCTATAGACTGACACGCGCTGACGCATTTGTGTATTTGTAACTGTAAACAATCGGTAAAGTTTATGCGTCCCGAGGCAAAATTAAGCGTACGAGGAATCTTTGCTCTGAAATATTTGCGTCCAGCTGTAATAAACATGCGTACCGGGACGCCGAAATAAGCGTCCCCAAGAACCCTGATGACCCCCTGGGGCGGGCCAATTTTGACCCTTGGGCTTTATTTGAACAAACTTGGTAGACACTCATTAGAAGATGTTTCATGCTAAATATCTTAGCTCTAGCTCTTTGGGTTCTTTAAAAGAAGATTTTTTAAGTTTTTACTTTATGCATATAGGGAAAATCAATGACCCCCTGGGGCGAGGCCAATTTTGACCCCAGGGCTTTTATTTGAACAAACTTGGTAGACACTCATTAGAAGATGTTTCATGCTAAATATCTTAGCTCTAGCTCTTTGGGTTCTTTAAAAGAAGATGTTTTAAGTTTATACTATATGCATATAGGGAAAATCAAAGACCCCCTGGGGCCGGGCCAATTTTGACCCCAGGGCTTTTATTTGAACAAACTTGGTAGACACTTATTAGAAGATGTTTCATGCCAAATATCTAAGCTCTAGCTCTTAGGGTTTTTTAAAAGAAGATTTTTTAAGTTTTTTCTTTCGGTTGCCATGGCAACCAGAGTTCTGCATGGAATTAAATTCTTTGAACAATTTTTAAAGGTGACACACCAAAGGAACATTCCTGTGAAGTTTGGATGAAATTGGCTTAGTGGTTTATGAGGAGATGTCATTTAAAGTAAAAGTTTACGGACGGCCGGACGCTGGACGAAAAGCGATCACAAAAGCTCAAGCTGTCACTTTGTGACAGGTGAGCTAAAATTAAAACACAAATATGAACACACTAACTGTAGAACAACCAACAGAAAGATCAATAATCAAACTTTAACTTAAAATCAAATTCAATCTAATAACATGTTTAATAGTTGGATATATTCCATACAGTGGGCGGCAAAATCAATGGTCTGTAATGATCTAGTTGTCTTAAAGCCTGTAATTACAGCTGAGTTTTTTTCCAGAATTTTCTTTATAAATACCATATCCATGGTCAAGTAAAATAATGCATAAAACAGAAAAGTGAGTCAAAATCAGATTTTGCCAGCCTAGCTATCACAAGATAAAGTTTTCAGTTTCAATACAGTGCTACATCATTTCTTTTACAGTTTGTATTGAGCTTGTTTCTACCTAAGAATTCCTGATCAACACCACCTCCAAAACTGTCAGCATCATTGTCGTCGTCATCATCATCATTTCCTATATCTGAACAAGTAACAATAAATTATTAAACAGTCAACAGAATGGAAACTAAATGCATGTCTTCATCAACATAAAAGTTAAATCAGCCTGTAAAAGAGACCAATTTCTTACATTTCTGCAGAGAAAATGCTTCCTATACGCTGGAACATGTTTATTACCAAAACATGTTTTGTTCTTTTTTTCATATGATGAAAACAAGCAAAAAAACATTTCAAAACTTTCCAAACAAAACTAACTGCATGAAATAAATTAAGTGATCTTAACAGTAAGAACTTGAAAGAAGATCAGCAAAATATTCCTTAACAAATATGTCACTTCTCTATTCAATGCAGCTATGGATACTTTAATATGTCACTTCTCTATTTAATGCAGCTATGAATACTTCTTACAGTTATGCATTAAAAACATCATTTCTACGGACTTAACTTCTACATATCTATTTCAAATTATCGTCTTTACTTTAAAACTGACAGAAGTGCAACACCATCCTCAGAAATGATACATGTATATGGTCACATTTGGCACAGGTTAGGCAATACTTTGGTGCATTTAAACAGTCAATGTTCAAAAAGTATCCTATACCAACTTATTCTTGGCATAATTTGTAAATCATATGTTGAAATAATTTTAAAATAATTAAAGAAATGTATGGTATCCTACAGATTTTTGCACACACTACAAATAAGCTGCTATTTCTTAATTCGAAGAACAGAAATAAAAATTCAGATATCAAGTGATCATCAATTTACAAAAAAAAAATCTTTCCAACCCTGACAAAAAATAGCATTAAAACATACTAACATATTTTAATATATCTAAAATAATACAGAATATGAAACCAATTCATGCAAAAGTTGAACTGAACTCATAAAAAACTTTAATACAATACAATGCAATTCAAGTCTCTTTCAATGAAACATGTCAAAACTTACCCATAAATCCACCACCCCCAAAACCATCATCCAATGGTGGTAAATCTACATCCATGGCTGGGGCAGTTGAGGTTTCTGCAATCATTGAATGGGATTTCTCAATAGGCTGCATACTGATATCTTGTCTTGGACTCTTCAAGTATGACTCATCAAAATGGGCATCCCTGAGAAGCTCCCTTTCGTCAAAACCAACATCACCTTAAAAAAATTTCAATTTGGTCAGCATTAACATTTTTACACAACAACCACCTACTAATAAAAATAAAATAGAGAAGCTCAAGCTTTTTTTCAACATTTGGATAAAACAGAAGTTATCAAAACAAGAATTAGTTAACAAGATTAGTTTATCCACATGAAGATTGGGAAAATATCATTGAAAGCAAATTTGAATTTATACCTGATTATTGTCCTACAAGAGTGTTCTGTCTATTTTAATAAAATTTAAATTCACTCCTGAGGGAAGATGGGTGTGGCAATAAAAAAAATTGCCTACAGACAACCTGGGCAGAAATTTTTACTTGTACTTATCTGCAGTTTAACTTCACAAGCCAATATAAAAATACAAACCATTGGCCATATGTTTTAACAAGTTAATATGAGTTACAGTGTCCCATCACTGTGAGGTGTGGACTGATTTCCCTACATAAAGACAAGACATCATTTCTTAAGTTTTAGGAACATTCTGCAAATTTTATATGGCAATGAATCATGTTGGAACTATCATAATTTTGGTGCTTATTAAATCTGAACATAGATTTAAGCTTATGATCATTCTTTTTTCCCCCCGATGGATTAAGGTGAATGTTTTTCTGCTGGGACACTTACTGATTCTTTTGGTTATCACATTGCTAAGAAAAGCCAAATCTAATAACAAATGTGCAATCCAATATGTGCAATTGTAAAAATTTAAAGTTTACTTTAACAAGCAGTTGCCTCCATATGACCTATATGTATCAAGAAGCTTGCTTTCAGATGGCCTTCCTACAAAAGTCACACTGCGTGAAATTATTGATACAAAAGTGTATTTACTCATAGTTAACTAAGATTTCATAACATAACCCACTAAAATAAATGTCTCACATTGCAACAGGATAGAAAAACAGTATTTTTTACAGGCTCAGAATTTCACTTGTCCACCAACAAGTTCTAATGAAAAAATCTAATTGTTCACAGGCATAAAGTCCCGAGTTAGGTAGCCTGGCATAAGATTTCCACACACCCAGCCTGGAAGATTTGTGATGCTATTAATATAATCATATCTTTTTTTAAAATTTAAATATATAAATTATTAAAGATACAGATGTAGTATTTATTGTGAGTAGTGATGTCACGATGATCGAGTAGAATCGAATAATCGTCGCTGGCCGCTAATGTTAGCGACAATCAACTTCTTTACTGTAAAATCGATGTTGCTTCTTAAATTTCTTTGGGTTTTAAATACAAAATCACAAAGGGATGTTACTCTCATCGTAATGTCGGTTGAGAAAATTTTCAACTTCCCAGGGAAAACACGTTTGTCAGTTTGGTGGTTTTTTTTGGTTAAAAAAAAACACCATGACGGCCCGCCAGTCAAGCATAACGTTGACATGACGACAGTCATTTGCCGATTATGCATGAAGTCTTATGCAAACAAAGTTGATTTATTTCTTCCATTTTTTCGGATATAACCTGTTACCGGACATGTACTGATGTAGTTCTTGTACCAGTTTTTATCGTAGGCAATTGTCAACATGATAAAATGCTTTATAAATGATAATGTTTAACTTTTAATGTATCCCTGTAAGGTTAATTGAAAATGAATATTTTTGAAAACTAATCCACAGTCCAAAATATGATAAAACAAGAGCTGTCCGTAAGACAGCGCGCTCGACTTTTTTATTGCTTGCCAATAAAAAAAGTTTTTGCAGTAAAAGGCAATACAAGAATCTCTGTATTTTTAAAGTGAACAATGGCCATGAGCATTAAGATATTTAGTGAAGAATTATTTTACTGAATTGTGTGATACCCTTGAACACTGCAGCAAAGTTTGAAATGTTTAAGTCAAAAGAGGGCTGGTAAGAAAGAAAAAAAAACTGAGTTGAGCCTTAAATAAATTTAATAGTATTAAACCCACTTTGAGAGAATAAGGTATTTTTACGTCACTCAGAACACCTTGGTAAATGTATTTTCTAAGTCAAAAAGGGGCATAATTCTGTCAAAAACCTTGACAGAGTTATGTCCTCTTGTCTGTTGATGAAGGTCGTGATGGTAAACAAGTATGGTCAGTTTCAAAGCAATACCTCCAATGGTTTTGAAATAAAGTGAGGTGGTACAAAAAACTTAACCAAGCTCAATACACTTTCTAAGTCAAAAAAGGGCCATAATTCTGTCAAAAACCTTGACAGAGTTATGTACTCTTGTCTGTAGATGGAGGTTATGATGGTGAACAAGTATGGTAAGTTTCAAAGCCATACTTGTAATACTTCTGAAATAAAGTGGGGTGGTACGAAAAACTTAACCAAGGTGTGACGCCAACGCCGACGCCGACGCCGGGGCGAGTAGGATAGCTCCCCTTTTCATAGAAAAGTCGAGCTAAAAATTAAGTAGTGGTTTTCAAATGGAAAGTATGAACAGTGAATTTAAGTGAATTCAATAATTTTTCTTAAAATGAACATGGATTCTTTAATACTGGTAAACTTGTGCTTCTTCAAACTTAGTGCTAGTTAAAGTTCATTGTGAATTTAAAAAAGAGTTAAATTGCTATTGTTAAGGAGTTTATGCTTTGTCTCACTTGTTTTTTTAAGGTTTTACAAACAATTGATATGTTAATCTAGTCTGTGGTTTGTAATATAATTTTGATCATATATTATAAGCAATTCTAATAGACCCGCATTTTTCCCTATTGAACATAGAAGACCCGAAAGTGTGTGTTATTATGCTATATACCAGGGCTCATCCTGGGGGGAAATTTTAGGGAGAAGTGACTTCCTCGCGAAAATTAGGGAGAATGGAAACAACCCAATGTGTATGCATTAACATGCATGGCTATACATCCTTTAATTATGATATAAACACAATTAACATCACATATAATATTTCTCCAGTTTATTAATTAATAGTTATAGTAGATTAATTAATAGTAGTAGATATATTATTTAATAGTAGATTAATTAATAGTAGATCTGGCAATGGCATCTAAATGTTTTTGAGCTGCAAATATGAATAAAAAAATTATTTTTGATATCTATTGATCAGCTATTTATAAGCTTTCTCTAAATATGTGTTTATATATTTTCATGTAGTAGTTGATGTAGATATGTTGATAATAATGTGTAAGGAACAGATATGATGATAAAATCAATTTTATATTCTTTACTTTCCTCACTCTTTAACAGAAGATGAGGTCACATTGGATATTGATTAATAATATCTGTTCTATTCTGTTCTGGTGACAGAAATTTCTTTCAAATTCCTAAATGTTGTAATGTCACATTTATATGCATATAATTATGCTTATAAAACAATTGTCAAACATCAAATAATATGTAAAATATGTACTGCAAACATTTGTGCACATTATATTTGATCACTAAAATTACATACATTCATTTCTTATTGAAAACTTTGACTGAGAAATTGTAGAAAATTAATTTCTAATTACCTCCCTTTATTTTCATGAAATGTTAAATTCGGTAATATCTTTATAAATAATGCTTTTTAAAATTTACAATATTGATAAATCTTAATCTGAGCGTCATATTTACGACATTAAAACAAATATATATATTGAAACAAAAAGAACATTTCTTTCCTGACAAATTTTGTTGTTATATACGTTACATGATATACGACCGATATGTAGTTTAGCCATGATGTCGTGCCCCCGTCAAATTTGGCATTTCTACAAAGAAAACAATGCCAAACACCCCCACTGTCTACAACATACCAATCGCAAGATTTTTGCGAATTGGCTTTCTTAAATTTTCGCGTAGGTGTAACTATCATTCAGAATCAGTAATCATAACTTTCTCAAGTTGCTCGGTTTCAAGAACGGCATTTCGCCTTGTAGCCATGACGTGAGCGACATAACAATTTTACAGTAAAAATTGATGTTAACAGACTGAAATCATTCAAAACTATGATTAAGTTTTTAATCCTGTCGCTGATCATTAATGAAATTGATTATTTTTAATTGACTAACAGTTTTGTGATAGCCGTGAAAAATCCATTGCACATCGCCCTGTACTCAGGTTAAAAACCCACCATCGAAGTGCATCGTGTATATCAATTAGGGAAGATTGCACGTGTTTAGATAATCGGGAAAAAACAATCTATAATTATCGCCAACTCCCGTATTAAACTCACAAAACTATCACACAATTATACCGTTTCGGGCCGATGCTCTCATTATTTACTGTTTAGAGTAGGCGGTCTATCGCTTTGCTTACAGGTAGAAGGGTAGTATAAAGCGACGCTCTGATTGGATAATGATAATTAGCGGTCGTCATATGGGCGGATACAATCTCTGCTCTTTACATCGCTAAGTAATTACTATTTGGGAATTAAGATTTTATCGGCGATGTTGACTTCTCTTTGATCAATCGGGAGAGCGAAATTGGAATATACACGGCGAAGTTATCGCCTGAATCGCCCTTCCGGATGAGCCCTGTATACGTTATCATTATACATGTGACGTAACCACTATAAAATGCGACGCGCTGACAATTAGTACGGAAACAAATCAGGCTCAATTTTGCTTAATATCAAATACGGCAGCATTTATTTGTTGATGTCGTGTTAGAATCGAAATTATATATCCAATTTGGTGATTTTATCGCTGGATAACATCACTGTTTGTCGTTGGATGCGCATCATTATATCACTTGGGCTACCCCCTCGTGATATAATTCCTCGCATCCGAACTCCAAACAGTGATGTTATTGAGCGATAAAATCACAGTTTGGGATATATTATTTCTTAAATAAAAGAATAGATATTTGAAAAGATGTGTACTAGAGTAGTATTTCTAATTATAGCCAACTGGTAGATGAACCAGCATATTTACAAATAGTTTTCGAATATTTACCGATTTTAATTGATTAATTAAGTTTGATTCAATTCGATTATCGATTATGGTTTTGGTCCGATTCTCCATCACTAATAATTATTGTGAGTCATGTATTTTTTTGTAGCATAAAGTCACTGTTACAGATAGAACTTGCCAAAGAGCTTAACCATACCAACTTTCATTGTTACAAAGGAATATAACTTGAAAAAAAAAAAGGAAGCCTTGCCAAGATCATGAACCTTATGGATACAGTGTAACTTTATTGCCAATGGTATTGTACTTCAACTTTCAGGGCTCTTGGTTGGTAAAATTTTGGGCGGAATATCGGCTCCATTCCGCCATTAAAATAGTGTGTTTCTTCCCCCTAAAACCCAAAAAAAATCCTCCTCGAAAAGTAATAATTAACGGCCATAGATCAGGATCACGTTTTTAAGTTGAATTTTTATACAAAATATCAAAGATGTATTCAATTTGATTGGAAATAACCAAAATATTTCATGATAGCAGCTTATTGTTGATAATTTTGTTAACTGAATCTTGTTTTCACTTGTTTTTAATGAATTAATTTTCTTCTATTAAAATTCCCCTTGAATGAAATTTTTTTAAAAACCATGCGAAATCCAGCCTCAAAATGCTAACGAGAGCCTTGACTTTAGATATATTCAACTCACCAGTTTAGATTAAACTACATTTGAGACTGTCATATGTGACTTTCCAAGGGATCTTGAGAAAAAGGTCACATATGACAGGGAGTCTCTTAATACAGTCTCATAGAAAATTAAAATTTAAATACCATCTATCTGTCTATATATCATTGTGACTTAACATATATACTGTATAACTGTGTGAAGGAATAATATCTAACCAATTGCAAATACACATAGGTACTTTAAATATTTGATGTAAATAAAATAAGAATCCCTGTAAAGCAAATATAATAGTATGTATATCATATAAAATTTAATTTTATTTTTTGTATTAGTTTAATATTGAATCATTATGGTACAAAATAAACTTGAATTTGATGCATTCAAATCCTTAAAATAAATATCATACTTTTAAAAACATATCCATATTAGTCTGGTATCAACATTTTTCCGTATTATCCATGCAGCAATAGAAAGGTAAAATAAAAAAAAAATTCTGCCTAAAAAATCTTCACTCCATAATTTTTTTAAACACAAGTCTTAATCCAGTTTACTCAGTTCATTATGTTCATTACACCTGTGACCTCAATTTGTTAACACACATCGATTGCATCAGACGCTACGGACACTCCAGACGCTACGTCACTTGACACCTGCATATATACATGTAATCAGAGGTGTGTAGAGTTTGTTTGAAGAGTACTGACTACTGGATTATAATTGGACTTAATTATTTTGTCTCTCTGGGTGTTAAAACAGGTATTATTTATCCGATTAACGGACAATTAAAAGGTGTGAAAGTCGTTTAAATCAGACAAAGCAATGCATTGGGACCAGATAATTAGGGTTGCTTGTCACATATGACAGGGAGTCGTTTAATTCAGACCATTTATATAGGAAAATACGTTGGGAGGACTGAAACAAGGTCGGATAAGACAGGGAGTCGTTGAAACCAGGGGGTCGCTAAGGCAGTCTCGACTGTAGTAAAGATGGATTGACAAAGGAATCAATTACTATATGCCTTAGGAAATAACTGTGCACCTCTAAACAGCAGGTCATCAACTAACAAAACTGGGTTTTAAACATCAAATAAAGCACAAGAAAAAACAAGAGCTTGACTATTCTCACTGCTTGATATCAAAACAAAAAGTATGGACATGTAAAATTTTCTACGTTCAAAAAGGGCCATTATTGTCAAAATCCATGTTAGAATTAAAGGCCTTGGAAAGTAACCTCTTATAATGCTCTCATATAAGTGTATGAAGTAAACAATTCTCTTCAGTAGCTTTCCAGATGCCAATTTGCATACAAAAACTTAATTTGAAGTGAAGCCCACACATGGGCAAAACTGCAACTTTCCCTATTCTTCAAATAGTCAAGCTTAAAATGTGGCATAAAAAGTAACAGCATATTTGGGGTGGCATTTAACATTTCTCACCTCCTTTGAAGCTAAAAGCATTTATACCAGAGAAATGGCATTCATTTAAATCCATAAATGGTCCACCTATATAATAACAATTAGTATACCATAGACTTTGGGAATCCTATTATGATTTAGAGCATATACTAAGCAAAGTCAGCATGAAGTTAAATATACAACATGATTTTATAAATAATGCTACAAACATGAGATCTGAAACTTTTTTTATACTTGACAGGGCTTGTTTTCACAGATAGCGGAAGGGGTGCTATGAATTTAGGGGGAAATTTCATTTTCCTACTACCAGTACTGTGCAGTACACAAAGAAATGTATAGATTTTACTAACAACTGTCTCAAAATAAAAAAGGTAATGAAAAAAAAAACTAACATAAATCCAATGCCATCAAAAGAAACAACTTTCATCTGCATTCTTGCAGAAAACATACCAAAACTGTCATCACCAACGAAAGATATAGTGGTTAAATCTTCTTTCATTGTAATCTCTTCAGGGCGACTCTGGTTGACAGTAGAAAACTGGGCACTCATGTCAATATCACTGTAAAGAAAAAATTCATATGTCAAATGAGTTCATTCTTACAGATATCAATTCTATTGGAATCATAGCTTCTGTTGTGAAAGTTGCTTTATTCTTGTTATCCCTGATACCAACAGCTTATAAATTAACCATTTTAACCTGTGCATCAACCCCTAATAATCTTCTTTTCGGCAATGATCGCCTAAGTATGGACATAAATCAGAATCTGTTCACACTTGTCCAGAGCTTCATTGAAGCATCAAAGCGTTTCGATTCATAATTCCCGACTCAGTGTTTTAAACATCGTATTCCATGACAAACTGTGTGACACAACTTTTTTTTTATTGTTATAATTATTTTTATTTTCTTCTCTTTTTTTTTATTAAAAGGGAAAATGAATAAACAAACAAGAGCGATCAGTAATCACATGTGTCGCCTCATGATGGCCAATTTCATGTTGGGACAAATTTTGTGACAGACAGACGGACAGTGCACAACTAGACTGGGTTCTGATCATTCCTGTAAAGTTTGGATAAAATTGCACCAGTAGTTTATGAGGAGTAGTCCGGACAAGCTTTTGCGTATCTGGCAACACACAGAAAAAAAACACCTTTTTATCAAAGGGCCACAACTCGGCCAAAAATCATTCAACCAGAAAACCCGTGCAATATGCGCAAGGACTTGAGCTACAGATCAATCCTGTAAAGTTTCATTGAAATTGCATTAGTGGTATAAGAGAAGTAGTCCGGACAAACTTTAAAAATAAAAATTATTAAAGGGCCATAACTCTGACAAAAATCACTGAACCGGAAAATGCTGACAATATGCACAACTAGACTTGGTACCGATCATTCCTGTAAAGTTTGGATGAAATTGAACCAGTAGTTTATGAGTAGTCCGGACAAGCTTTTGTGTATCTGGCAACACACAGAAAAAAACACCTTTTTATCAAAGGGCCATAACTCGGCCAAAAATCATTCAACCGGAAAACCCGTGCAATATGCACAAGGACTTGAGCTACAGATCAATCCTGTAAAGTTTCATTGAAATTGCATTAGTGGTATAAGAGAAGTAGTCCGGACAAACTTTAAAATTAAAAATTATTAAAGGGCCATAACTCTGACAAAAATCATTGAACCGGAAAATGCTGACAATATGCACAACTAGACTTGGTACTGATCATTCCTGTAAAGTTTGGATGAAATCGCACCAGTAGTTTAAGAGGAGTAGTCCGGACAAGTTTTGTGACGGACGGACGGACAGACAGACAGACGACGGAGAAGTGATCCCTATATGTCGCCACTACTCCGTAGAGGCGACACAAAAACCAAGTAAAACCTTTTGAAAAATTATTAATTTAGATCAATTATGAACTTAAAAACATGCACTGATCATATAAAGTGAAATAATAAAGACGAAACTCCATCATGGAAAGGAATTAATATAAGTGTTATGCTTTTTGACCATTTTGATACAAATGCTTCAAATCAAATTTTCAAGTTTCAATGAAATTTTATTAAAAAATATATATCAACAGTTTGCATAACAATAATTAACAATGAAAATTTTACAAAAACATGGTCAACTACACTGTAAGCTAATAAGGAAAAAACTCACTGCAAATCCTCAAGAGCATCAAAATCATGAAAGTTTTCTTGTAATGTGATTGCAGCTACATTTGCTTCTCTATTATCCTCTGGCAAGTCAACAACACCAGGTCTAAAAGCCATCTTGATCTTCACAAATGCTTCATTGCAATCAGCCAACAGGTACTTAGCTTTACGAGAGTAAATTCTTACTACACCAAGTAAAAGATGACCAGAAGTTCTTAAAGCTAGCTTCACCTAGACAGAATAAATACAAGCAATTTTGTTGAACTGATATGATTATATGTAATATATGACATGCCTTATGACTCAAATCTGCTGATTGAAGTTCCTTAGAACTACCCTAGAATATTAAAGCTGCATGCCTCCAACAGAGCCAAAATGATCCAACAAAATCAAACTTGACAAAATGTACGAAAAGTAAAAAGATTCAATTAATAATTTACATGTAATGCACAATTTAATGATTGATTTCACAGTATTTATCATCTGAATTCTAATGCAGCAATGGCTATTTTTGCATATTTTCCTCCTTTTGGTAATTTATGTGGATTTTAAGTGTTGTTTACTTCTTTTGTTCACTTAATGCTGCTTTGAAAAAAGATAGTAATCAATAGTTAAAAACCCCCTATAAATTGGGTGATGTCAAAATGAAGTACATCCTTTTCTGATCACAAGTACATTATCAAATTTGGTGGACTATTTTCATTTAAAATATGTTACTTTTAAAGTTTATAAATTTCAATTTTAGGATTCAATATCAACTGTACAGAAAGCAATCAAAATTTTGCTGGGTTTCCTAACAACATTAATGTCATTAATTAACTACATAAATGACACTTAATAATAAATTGGTATTTTAGATCCACAATGGTGGTAAGAAAAACTATTGAAAACAATATAAGGAAGTTGTTATACAGTCATATATCAAAATAAAACATTATAGGAAATTCATATTTAGAATTCAAGCACATATTTCATTATTTCTTGTTGATCATATTTGTATGAAAAGACAGGCATTTTTAGCAATCTCAAAACCTTGTGGTTTCAGTTAATATTCAAGCAGCAATACTAAACTACTAACTTATATTTTCATCAATATAACATATATAACAAGGTTGAGTTCCCCTCCCCTCAACAAGTTTACATGGAATTACTGTGTTGACAGAAATTTTCTTTAAAGCTGATTCTTTACCTTTGGCTTCATAATTGCTTCAACACTGCTGTCTATATTGGTTTCAAACACATGAGCCTTGGTCAGCTTTTTGTCCCAGTGAGCTGCAAGCCAGATTCTAGCAAGTGGCCCTTTCTTTGTCAAGACAAAATGTGCATAAAACATGGTGGATCTTCAGTTACTAGGTTCACAACTAAACTGTAATGAAAGTGTAAAACATAAACTTGATGCAAAATGGAAATTAATATTGTGAATGAGTATTTTATTTACCATTAGATACAGCGATTTTTTCCCCCCGAGTTGTGAATGGGTCCGGTACCATAAAAATTGTGAAAAAAGCGTTGTTTCTTAACAAATTGTGAATTTTTTAATTAAGATTGTTAATATCTTATTAAGCAGTAAGAACATAAAATTTTTTTAACGTAATATTTACTGTTACGAGACATTTTGAATGATGTTTACAGAAATTACCAGACGCTTGTATTAGTATTGATTCGTCCCTAGAAGTTTCGTATTTAAACAGTACGAAAATTTAAAAGGCGAATGCACCGGAAATCATGGTTGGCTAAACGCATTTTAAGATAAACAAAGCATAACAGGCAAAATTTTAGCATCATTATGAGAAGAGAGGAAATAATATGTTATTAAAGGCTTAATTAATCAGAATTGTGAAATTTCATCAGAATTGTGAACGGCTCCGTCAGACCCATTCTGAAAATTGTGAAGGTCCGTTTGTGATTGTGAATGGGTCCGTTATTCGGTACCACTTATATAGGGGAAAAAATCGCTGTAGATAAAATAATTATTCATGATATATTTTTTATTCTACACGTCACTTCAAATCATTAGTGCCACTTTTACTTAATTTTAACTTTATCATAGGAAATATTACCGTTTTAAGATACAATAAAACTTTACTGTAGTATTATTAAAATTTAAATAGCAATTTTAAAACTTTTTTATGTTTATTGGTATGTGAAAAAAAAAAAAAAACAAATTATCTGCTCTTGTCACATTTTAATTTAACAAGATATGTTTGTAAAACATGTATGCCCCCTATCGTCAGCCAATTAGTTATGTGATCAAGTAATTATGACTGACTTAGCCTAGTGAACAAAAAATCAATAAGGGTTATCTACTAGTCATAACTAGTCACTAGGGACCGCATAGGTTGAGAGCAGCACTTTTATGACAAAGTTTGTCATAACCAATCATCATACCAAATTTGAAGTTCCTAGGCCTAAGCGTTCTTTTGTTAATGATCGGAAACCGTTTTTACTTACAAGGTCAATGTGACCTTGACCTTTGACTCCTTGACCCAAAAACCAATAGGGGTCATCAACTGGTCATGACCAATATCATCATACCAAGTTTGAAGTTCCTAGTCTAAGCGTTCTTTAGTTATTGATGCCATGGGAAACCGTTTTTACTTACAAGGTCAATGTGACCTTGACTTTTGACCCCAAAATCAATAGGGGTCATCTTCTGGTCATGACAAATCATCATACCAAGTTTGAAGTTCCTAGGTCAAAGCGTTCTTTAGTTATCACTCTGAAACCATTTGGTGTACCAACCGGCCAACAGACAGACAAATGCATTTTTAGCAATATACCCCTCTTCTTTGAAGTGGAGGCATAAATGTTGACATGTAAAACAGCCCTACAGAGAACATATGTTTTTGGAGCTAAAGTGCTGATTCCAGTGCCTTTTTAGAACCAACATTCCCCTCTCCAAAAAATATATCAAAAAATAAATATTTTCCTCTATTTCTCAAAGAATCCCCTCCAAAAGTATAAAAAAGTCACTCTTTTTGAAAATTCATCTCTTCATGAGTAGGACACAGAGAGGAATTGTAGTTTAAAAAGGTAAGGGTATATGATTACAAGTATTATAAAATGAACTATTTTATCAGTTTTCACATTTTCAGGACTGGACCTAATTACTATTACTAATTTTATATCATACGAACTTGGATTATACAACCATTTTTCTTTATAATTTTTTCCCTATGCTTTTTTCATTTTTAAAGGTGTTTAAAATTAAACTTATAAATTGACATTTTTAAAGGTGTTTAAAATTAAACTTATAAATTGAAACAAAAAATGTTCATGGTCTTCAACTGCAATTTAAAGCTTTTTATTCTCGCCATCTGAATATGAAAAAGATTGATATTTGTACTTTCTTAACTGTAGCCAATATGGCGATTATTCACTTTAGAAAGTAAACATACAGACAATTGCTGTTTCTTGGTTAAAATCCTCGTTTTCACATGCATTTTCGACTTTCATATAATTTTTAAAAATGTTGTTTTTGGTTAGACAATACAGTGTGCCCTGGCTAGCCATACATGACACATACAGCTTGAATTTTTGGCTAGTAGTACAGGCCTGTACAGAAAAAACAAACTTTCTGTTAGTTTGTAGTATTTTTAATGTCTAATACAAGCATGCATAACACCATGATCCCATTATGTATAACACATTTTTAAATCATAAAAGCACAATTAATTAAAGCCTATCCAGGGAATAGAATTTTAGAATGCATTTCACAGAACACGCAAACTTTCCTCAATGATGGACAAACTTTGATCTACTGTCAGTAATCGGTTACACGACTTACCGGAATCGGCCGAATTACCGGAATCGACCGGAATCGGCGGTGAATTACCGGAATCGACCTGTAACTTTGTAATAATTAAACTTTTTAAGTTTTTTCTTGCAATTTTATGAAATATAAACAATATCAATGATTTATGAAAAGATTTTTATAAATAAAATCGCTTTTGATTAATTTAACAAGAGATCTAATATCGGCGAGCTACTGCCAAACTGCCCGTGACCGGAATCGGCCTGTTATTTCGTTGTTTTTGCAACTTTTAATGTTCCTTTTGCATGTTTTTATAAAACCTAAATATTATCATTAATCTTCCTAGAGATTGTGAAAAAAAACGCTTTTAAATAATAATAATAATAAACAAATATTTATGATCTGCGAAAACGGGCAATCTGCCGGAATCGGCAAAGGATTACCGAAATCGGCCTGTAATATGCTTATCTTTATACTTTAAACAAAATGTTTGCACCCTTGATTATAAATAAACAATAGCAATGATATGTAATCAGATTATTGTCAATAAAATCACTTTTTATTAATTAAACAAGATATTTAATATCGGCGAGTTACTGCCATACTGTCGGAATCGACGAAGGATTACCGGAATCGACGTATAATTTAGTCTATTGTACATTTTTAACGTTTCTGTTGCATTGTTAATATTCGTCTTATAAAATATAAATATTATGAATGATATTTAAAAGTTTCTTTCATTCTTTTATTTTGTAAATTTCAATTCGCCTTTGGTTAATAAAGCAAGAGATCGAAGATCGGCGAGTTACATATACTGTCATACAGCCGAAATAGCCGAATGATTACCGGAATCGGCCTGTATTATTGTAATTTATGGACTTTGCAAGAAAAAAATGAAAACAATATCATTGATATCTAAAAAGATTTCTGAAAATGAAGAATCCTTATTAAATAATAAACTAGAGATCTAAGGTCGGCGAATTACTGCCATATCGCATATATGCAGTGTCAGGGCTATCGGACAATTACCGGAATCGGTCTGTTTTTTTCCCCACCAATATTTCAACGTTTAAAAAATAACCTTGAATTATTTTATTAAATACAAACACAATATAAACGATTTTTATAATGTTTATTGAAATCGGTATTAAATAAGAGGCAAAAGATTTATGAAAAATCGCTGTTATATAATAATGAAAAGATTAATATTGAAGATCGGCAAAAACGGGAAACCTGTCGGAATAGGCGATGGATTACCGGAATCGACCTGTAATTTGGTTATTTGTGAACTTTTTAAATATTTCTTTTGCATGTTTTTATAAGATATAAACATTTTCAACGATATTCATTTTTGTAAGTAAATTCGCTTTTATTTAATAAAACAAGAGACCTAAAATCGGCGAATTACTGTCATACTGCCGATATAGGGGAAGGATGGGCGGGATCAGCCTGTATACTATAGTTATTTTTATGTTATTTTATTAAATGCAAATAATATCATTGATATACAAAGATTTTTTATGAAATAAAGGCCACTTCTTATTATAAACTAGATGTCTAAGATAGACTAATTACTATCACAGTGCCTGAATTAACAGGTAAATACCGGAATTAGTCTTGTTATTTTGTTATATTTCAGCGTTTTAAAAATATCTTGCCATATTTTATTAAATACAAACAATTCAAATGATATTTAATAATATTTATTGTAATCGCTATTACATAATAAACAAGGTGATCTATGATTTCTTCCATACTACCGAATCGACGAGCGATTACCGGAATCGGCTTCACTTCGTCTAGGATTACTGGAATCGGTTCTAATTTTGTTATGAATGTGAACTCAATATTATTATTATCATTTATTTTTGCATGTATTTACAAACATTATCATTGATCTTTTATGGAATAATGCAATATCGTCTTTACATTATATTTTTCAGGACATTGCTAACAGAGGATTGTTTGAAATGACGGATAACAATGGGCCAGTTTAGTCTTTCTTTATGTTTGCAAAACTCAATTCTTGATTTCATAAAGTAGTCGATTTATAATTACATGCAATAATTTTTATTTGAATCTTTATTTAAACAATACAAACCTCATAAAATATTCACATGAAATCAATGTTTTACCAGGCAGTTACTTGACAGTTCATGGTCATTCTGGAGTATCAAATCAATTGTCGTCATTTGCGTTATTGGTGCACCATAAAAATATTACAAAGATTGCGAATAAGTCAATCGTTGAAACATAGATTATTTAGTCTTAAATAGTAAACAAATCATCTATACCCGTAAAGTGAACTTTTAAACTTTTATAAAATATAGACAATTAATGACATGTAATAAGATTTTTGATAAAAAAACACATTTGATTCATTAAACAAGAGATTTAATTATGATCAGCAAGTTACTATCATCTGGGACATACGATATATCGTATGTCCCAGCTGTCATACTGCTGGAATCGGGGAATTATTACCGGAATCGGCCAGTAATTTTACTTATGAACTTTTTAAGAATTATTAAATACAAACAATATGAATGACATGTACAAAGATTTTTATAAACAAAATCACGCTTTATTAATTAAACTAGATCAGCAAGTTA